AAAAAAGTCTCATTATTTATCATAAAAACAAACTTGTTAAAATTAGTGAACATAGTATACTCACAGTTAATTGATTTTGTTCTATAAATTTTGACTCAAGGAACTTTTTCTATTGATTACTTCAGATACTGGTCTCCATAGCATTAGTTTTGTTTCAAAATCAATTGCATCACTCATACGGGTATAATTTCATATTTGATTAGTTTATTTGAGGTTGTTCAATAAAACAGTAATGTTGACTAAATAAAGTGTGGTGCAAAGTTTATTGCTTGCTCATAACTAGATGAAAATTGATTAAAAAATTTCCAGATTTTATGTTTATACTACAATAGCCCTTCAGTGTTTCATAATATTGACAGTAGAATTTTACAGATTTCTGTAGTTTTGTTTATTCCTATTGAATGTACTAGGTGTCGATTCGAAGAACAAAGATTCTACAATCAGTCTCGCTTTCCACCTAACTATGCTGAATTTTAAGATTGTCATCCATTTGATGTGATCACGAATCAGTGGATAGATAGCGATATTCGAGCTTTAGTCAAGATTAAAAGTGACTCTATAGGCCTTCAGAACAACAGCTTAAATAACCAATGCTACTTCTTTGTTTTATGAAAATTTGTCTTTCCAGTCGAAATAAAAAAATCTAGTTAGCTGTTTTATTGGTTGCAAGGGTGACCTTTGCAGTTACTCTAGTTTACTTATCTGAGTAAAGTCTGTCATTCTGTATTTTCCACAGTTTTTCCACTAGCTTATCCTGAATGACTCACAGCAGGCTACTGCAATCTTCACTTTGCTATTTATGATTTATTATTGTTATTTTTTTCCCTTGGATTCCTAGTGGAACATAGAGCTTCAGTAGCATGTCGCCATTGCACTCTCTTCTCTGCAGTCTTTTGAACCTGGCGCTACGACAGCCTATAAGCTTTCATTTCTTCCTCACATCATCTCCTCCGTGTCACCCTCAGCTAGGATGCCCAACTCATCGTTTCCTCTTTGGGTTCCACTCGATGACCTGGTCTGGCGCGTGGTATCCCAATTGGTCTTCTCAGTGCATGCCCAACCTATCTCCACTTTATGAGTGCTTCTCGACCCATGATGACTTCTCTTCCTGTGTTGTCCGCTCCCAGTTTGGCATTCATGTAGCCCATTAGAATTTTGATGTGACCAACTAGAGTCTTGTTTAGTACTGATTGGAGTTGTCCATAGAATTCCTCCTTCTTCTCATGATCTGCATCATTTGCTGGTGCGTAGCACTGTATGATTGTGACTCTCCTTCTTTTTGCATTGAATCTTGCTGTCATGATCCTGATCGTTGGGGAGATTGGTTCCCACTGTATGAGAGCCTTCGATGCTGTTAGGGACATCATGATAGCCTCACCAAAACTCAGTGTGCTCGTGGTTGTCGTCTGGGTGACAATATCGGAGTAGATTATTGACTCTCCAGTTGAGGGTTTGGAGAGTCCACTTCCATTCCATCTGCTTTCAAAGATTCTTAGCACTTCCATGCCATACCTCCTCATCTCTTTTGTAATCTGGGCAGCCTTAGTAGGTTCATACATGGTGCGGACATTCCATGTCTCCACGTTTACTTTCGCTTTCATCGAGAGAAGACATATCGGCCCGGCTAATTGGCTTCCCGAAGGCTTTCACCAACCGGCATCATTTCGCCTCTCCGATTCCAGTGAGGAATAAGTTTGTTTTTATTTTTTATATCTTCTTCGTGTTCTGAAGTTTCTGTAGCGATTGGATTGGTTTTCCGGTGTAGGGTTGCCAGCCCTCCTTCCGTTCCCTTTTTTTCCGGGCTTAGGACCGGCTACTAAATAATGAACTAGTTAACCAGGTGAGGTTCACTTTGTTATTACAACATTTTGTCTGATAGATTAGGTTATTTTACCTTATTTGATGTTCTGGATCTTTCTGTCAACAAAGTTTCTGTGTGAGTGAGTTTGTAGGTGTAAATGCTAACCTACTCTCAGCATTGTTAGGAATTTTATGGAAAACTTCCGACGTCCTTTTTTTGTATGCTACTAATGCATAGGTATGTTGTAGTTGTCCTTAATTTTATTCCTGTTTATCCCTCACTCCTATAAATTCCTATAGACGTTTAAATTAGCTCCGCAATGTATTTATTAAGCAACAATGTCTCTTTGGTGCCTTTCAATTCTTGATAAAGATTTTCTGATTTACAAGTCAGATTCCTGCCACGGTTACTTAAAGATTTTATCCAGCCTACTTGACAGATATAACTTGAGACCATTTATTTCCAGTGAACACTAATATCTAAACTGCCATTTTATAATATTTTAGTTTTGCAGTTCAACGTAGGTAGTTCTCCTCAATTTTCTAACTAATAAAAAAGCTGGACGTACCTATACTACCTAGTTTATATGCTCTAAAAACGTGAGAATATTTTGCTCTAAAAATGCGTCATCTACATATTTGCACTATATTTTTGTGGGGATTTTAAGTGTCTCCACCGTTATTCATTCCCATGCTACGGTTTGGGATACTGAAAATCCCATAACTACTATTGCTGTTATGTTAATATATTTTGTCTTAAAATTTGAAGGGTGTGAGAGTTAGACATAACTGTATCCCGTGGATGATTTTTCAAATCGACACTATAGTTTTGTTATTGATTTCATGATCAGTGACGAACATATTTCTGATTACCTTAAGTGCACATTGATTGGTACATTTGTATAGAGGTTTTTCACATCAAAACTGAATATCTTTTATCATTCCTCCAAGTGTATATTACTTGGATGTCTGTAAAGGCCACCTTAGCAACAACTGAAACAATCAATTAGACTTCTCTGAGTACTTCATATCTACCTTTCTAACGGAAATGGAGAAATCTAATTGGTTATCTGACTGGTTGCTAGGGTGGCCTCTAAAGTCAGTCTATTATTCTGTTTATAAATCACACTCGATGCTCCACTTTCTCTAGGGTATCATAACTACTATGATATAGATGCTTATTATCTAGTCTGTATTTCAATTCAAAAGCGTCTATTAACCTAGACTTTAGACGATTTCTAACATGAAGTAATATTGTAGCCAAATATTTAGATCATGTTCCTGGGTGTGTACATGCATGTTTCTGAAGTCAGTCATCGGTCTAACAGTATAGCCTAATTTCTCTAAAGTGGTAATCTTTTTATTTGAACTGACAAAATATACCCATTTATTCATTAACAAGAACAAGGCATGTATCAGCGAAGAAGCATTTTTTTTTTCAACGACTTCATTATCAAGCTGTACAGTCGTATTTATACTCAGTAAAGTGACAGATAATTGCACTAAAAAGGGAGTTGTTGAGTCAATATGCAAAATATACAATCGGTGTAGGTGGTGGTATTTGTTCAAGTGGAAAAGATAGAAAATGGGTCACTGAATAAGGAGGGACGAATTGAATGACAAGTGGTGAGATAAGAGACAAGTGTTGTCGAAGAATTGCAAAACGGTGATAATTAAGGAATGAATTGATATTAAAAATTTAAACAGCGTAATGAGAAGACGAAGATTATCTGAAACATGTGATGTATTAGCGCTATACATTTCGAACAATCTGATCACACATGGACTTGTCGAACTATTTATATGAAAATTTACGAAAAAGGTCAATGAAGTTAATAGGAAACATAGGAATAGGAAGGGATAGAAAAGGAAAAGAAAAACATTCTTGGTATGAAAATTAAAGTCAATACTACCAAGGTAGGTTCAACGTGAGTACAAATTGTTTTTGTATACATAAAGGGGGTTTAAATTTACGGATGGCAAGAGCTTCAATAAATTTAAGCACTCGGCTCTGACCACTTTTATGTAGTACTTTAAAGGCTAGTTTCTAGTATATGTTTAGCGATAGACGAAGATGGATGTTTGTCACCTGCACTTATCGGATCTGTTGAGGTCATTTGTTTTTGTAACCACTTAGGTACATGTTCAGCCTTCCTTAACTGCATATCACGATTACTCCTCCCTATATATGTGTGTACACACATACATGTAAATTGATAAACACAGTGGGATGTGATGTAATCGTTTATATGTTGTTTCGGTTTGTGCTGTAACATGGACTTGGTCTTCTCTACAATGATGACCTTAGCTGCATAATACGTTTTACAGATGGCCGATCTAAGTCTTTTCCTCACAACAAAGCTATGTGAATCACCTCTAAATGGTAATGAGATCTAGACATTTTTCTTAGCAACGGAGCACTGTATACTTTTAAAAAAAAGTGAAATATGGGTCAAATGTTGTCAATGAAGTGAAAATTGGTGATAATGATAATAGCAGAGAAGTGTACCAAGGTGAACTGAAATTGATAAAAGTAACCAACAAGGAATTATTAAGGTCAAGGTAGAGAAAGTGGTTTCACAAAATGTTTTTGAATGCAAACTTTCAGTTTTGTTCATGTATAGCTAATGCTTCAGCAATGCATTGGTGGTGGAAACGTAAACCTTTGAAGTAGTTCAATCTAACTTTGTAAATAATTTTAAAGGATGAAGCTCGAGCTGCTGAGTGTCCACATTCAACAAGGTGTTCACATATGGATGAAGTCGTTTTCCTTTGCTTGCCTCTGGTAAGCCGAACCGGGTAGTGTTCAGCAACATGTTTTCGGATTGCCTGCTTACAACGTCCAATATAGTCAGCTCCACAGGAGCATGTGAACTTGTAGATACACATAGATGTGAACATAAGTGGAAGTCTATCCTTCACGCATTGACGAATCAGACGGCGGCTGGAGAATATCAATCTCAGTCTAGCGGCATAGAAGCTACTATTGATACATCTTGACAGACGATTTTTCAGCACTTCGGCTGTGGTGTCTCCTTTGAATTTTAGATTCATGGTTAAAATTTTCTTAGGAACTGTAATGCGATGGGGAGCGATTCGTTTCTTCAGATTCTAATCAATAAATCTTTTAGGGTATCTGTAATTAGATGGTATTATTCTAAGAGTTTCGATTTCTGCATCTTTTCCTTTGCCTATTTCAGATAAATGAATTGAAAAATAAGTTGAATTCAAAACAAGATAAAATACAAAGTTTACTAATGGAATTAGAACAATCAAATCAGCGGTTGAATGAGATTGAAACACAATTCACGGCTTATAAATCACAAACAAGTCAAAATGAAGAAAATTATCACAGTTTATCGCATGATTTTATCATTATGAAGCAGTGTAAAGAGCAAGCTGAACTGAACGCTAAAAATTGTGAAAATAATCGACTGTTATATGAAAAACGAATGAAGGAATTAGATGAAAAGTTATCCATTATTCTCTATCTTAGATTTTTTTTGTCAAAGATTTCATTTAATTTACTTTTAATATTTACAATGATATCAGTTTGTTGAATATATTCCATATAGATATGAGGGTGATGATTGAAGATATAATGATGACTTACCAGAAGCCTTTGGATTACTGGGTCAGTGATCTACCAGCTTAGGTACCAGGCCCAAATTCTAACCAAGTCATAATTTTATTCAAGTCACTATATGAATAAACAAATTTAAATCGAGATTACTGTCAAATACCGTTGAATATATCCTTATGGGAATGGTGAAATGACCATTTAAATTCAGATTGGTATTCATCATGGACTGGAATCAGTTGAACAAACATTAGAAACCTAGCAGCATTGAACAACTGTTTCGTCCTGATGTAGGACTCCTTAGACGCGCGCACTCATGACTTCTTCAGGGTTTGGACAGGAGACCTTCAAGTCTCGTGACCGGCACGTTACTATGTTGGCAGTGGAGCAGAATCCTATGGTGCATATTTTCTACTTCTCTCTGTACACGACAAAATGTGACTTCGATCCAATACCGTCGGACATTAGGACAGTTACTTGACTATGGATGAAAGTCACGCTGTATCGTGAATTGCTAGAAATAAGAAATATACACTAACTGGATTCCAGTCCAGTGCCTCAATGGCAACCTGCTGGGCGTGAAACTTGAAGGTCTTGGGTTCGGTCCCTGGTGTAGTCATGCATGGGGGTGCTAAGGTGTCTCATACTAGGACGAAACGCCTGTTCAGTAGCTCCAGGTTTCTAATGTTTCTCCAACTGATGTCAGCTCGTGATGAATGCCAACCTGAAATCGATCAATTGTTGTGAATTTAGGACGTGTACAAACCAACACTACTTGTTGTAGCCAATTATTCTCCAGATTTTTAATAAGTGATAAAGTGTACAGTGTTTTTGGTTCGGATCTGTTGTTTCTAGGGTTGTACGTCATGGCTTCTGTGATGAAAGAAGCTAACAACAAGTACACAAAGTTGCTGTGAATCTTTTGTGAATAGTTTCATGAACATAAGACTTTCCGATGGTACATACTTTATGGATTTCAGTCTATGCTTCAGTGTTTGGTTATAGACCTACTATCCATACTAAAACTGCATTCACACTTGATTCTTGATGATCGTTATTTTATCTCCATAGAATAAACTGTTTTAGGGAGAATAACCTGAATACCACTAAGTATTTTCAGTTATTTAGTAATAAACTTGAAGATTTCACTAATTAAAACAAATCCTTTCGTCAATTTATCAATCAGTTATAAATTTTGAGGCAATTATCACTCTACATATCCTTGACAGATAGATTTTAATCATAAAAAGAACCATAGCTGACATTTCTTCGAACACAGTTTATATTCCCTCAATAAGTTAATAAAAATGACATGGCTACTTCTTATCACCTTCTGCAGTTCAGCAAACAACTGGAATCTTCGCCGACCAACAGTTTCCCTCTACAAGAACTGAAAAACCACTATTTGCGATAATTTAAGTTCGAAACGTCATCAATTAAATAACAGTGTATCACTATATGTTATAAATCAAATAAACAAATCTCATATGGAATCTTATTGCAATGATGACACTAAATTTAAAGTCCTTACTATCAGTGTTAGAAATGGATAACCTAAGCTGATTAATTGTTTTCGACTTTTAATTCAGTTATATGCTAAAGTTTTTTAAAAAGTTTACTGTCTTCACCTAATGCTGTCCGTTGAATACACATCAAATGTGTATCCGGTTATGTACTCCTTATTTAATAGTCAAGCGATTATCTCCCACTTACTGTGTGGAATGTATATATATCGACTGTAATTCATTGTATATGGGCACGATAGAGGACAGTAATAGGCTTTTCTCAACAAGAAAGAGAGAATAGTACATTCTCAGTTGACTATAAAATGTATCCCCATGCATATTATACATCTAAATACAAGCCAATCGTATTAAACACTTCAAAACAGAACGGGATACTGGACTCAAATCTGTTGCATATAATTAAAGTATTACTTAGTGTTGCCTGGCAAGAAAATTCTTATCACTTCAGTTATTACTCAAACATCTTCATGGAATAACATTTATCTAGTTATATACTTTGTGAGTTGACTTTCTTTTCGTTATGACTCTGACACAGTTGATTCAAAGTATCAGAGGTTCTGTTTGAATTTACAACTGCAAAATATTGACTTCTACCTCCTTCTTTTCACATACAGGTAGCGTTCAGTAGATTCATAAGACAGTTATTTGTATACTTGATCCAACGATCTAACAATTCTGTTTCATTGCATCGGCTGAGAAGTTTATGACTAGTGTGTCGATGCAGGATTCAAAAACCTGGTTGTTAAATCACTTAGTAAACCACCTGACCTACTACTTAAAAAAGACTGATTTATGTCATGATGATAATATAGGTGTAAAACTTGGGCACTGTGGTAGAATTTAATTCCATATTAGATTTGTTTATCTGATTTATAACACACAGTGAGTGATCTAGTATTATTTACTTGATGACGTTTCAAGCATAAATTATCATAATCATATCAATGTAATCACACAACTTTCGACATTTGATTTTTACAGTTACGTCACCTCATACGATTTGTTTTTATCGGTAGTAGAATCTTTGATATCTTTAGTATAGGTGTTACATCATTTCCATTACATGTATTGAATGTTGGTTCGAGGAATAATGATTCAGTAATCAACCACTCTGTCTCTCTCTCTCTCTCTCTCTCTCCCCACCTAATTATTACAGTGACTTTGTCCCACCCTATTGTGGTTGCATGTTAATGCATGCAATGCAATAGCCGAGTTTTTTTCTAGATTATTGATCTTATTCAGGTCTGTCATTCTACATTTAGCTAAATTCCTATGCTTGACTATTCTAACTGACTCCAACCGGCTAGTTTGACCTACACACTTGACCTCACAGTCATTACATAGAATTTGATAGGTTAGATTATTTTGCTTAATTGGTTCTATCCGATCTTTAAGCCAACAAAGCTTATCTCTGAGTGAGTTTGTAGGTTTAAATGCCGCCCTAATACTAGCTTTGTTGAGGATCCTACGTAAAGTTCCTGATGTGCCTTCCTTGTAGGGTAACACAATGGAGTCTGTGAACTCCTTTCTACTTGTGTTATCATGATTATTATTACTAGTGTTACTGTTATTATTTCGTTTCTTGTGTTCGTACGAATTTCTTAATAAACTGCAGGGGATAATTATTAACTGTTAGAGCTTCTTTTACGTGTTTCGATTCCTCACTAGTTAGTTTTCTAGCTCTGTCACTTAGACATTTGACTAAGCCTGCCCTAACTGACATTGGATGGGGTGACTTGAAGTTTAGATACCTGTAGGAATGTGTCGGTTTTCTGTAGACGGTAGTATCACTATCGCCATCTGTCCTTCATTTTATCCTGCAATCCAACATAGCTGATTCGCCTTGTTCATTTTCTACATCATTATTTCCATTTATATTACGTTCAATCTAACTTATAATCAAAGTTTTCTGCATGAGTGTAATTCACAATTTTTACATATGTTTACCAACTATTGGTCTGAACCGATTCAAATGCAGTTTCACTTGTACATTTTGTCTTTGAGTTAATAAACTTTGATTAGAAAAATACACATTTATATATACATTTATATATTAAATTGTACTAAGATCATTATTTAAAATTATTTATATCATGATAATTATAGCTATGAAAAAAACAAACAACGTTATTATGAAGATGTTCAAAGCCTAATGAGTCAATTGGATACTGAACGCTGTAGAGCTGATGAATTGCTTCAGAAGATTGAACAGAATCGTCGTCAAAATGAAGATCAAATTAGGAAGGTAAGATTATTCTTTTTACATAACGAAACAAGTCGAATACGAAGACAGTTACTCAATGACGGAATTGGGTGGAGATCGTGCTACATCGTGAACTGAAAGAATTCGAAAAATGTGGACTGTTTAGATCCCAGTGCTGTGACTCATTCTTAACGTGCTGACCACGGGACCTGAAAGTCGTTGGTTTGACCTCTGGAGGGGTTGTAAGTGCGCACTGCCTAGAAGTCCCAGACTAGGACGAAACGGTTATCCAGTACTCCCAGGTTCCCAATATTTTTCCAAATAATGTCAGTCCGTGATGAATACCAACCTGAAACCAATAAAAAAAATCCCCACAAACCTTCAAATTCAGTAAATTTTTCTTAGTCTATATATTTTCCGAATTCAGTCACTCTTTGTCTACGGGAAATTAAACATTTTGACAGCGAAATAACCACTGTCTATTATTCTAGATGGCTTTTTCTGTATGTCACTAGTTTAAACGAAAAATCCATATTCAGATAATTTTTCTTTTACAAATAATACACTTCATTAAAATGACATTTTTCATTGCCTATGTATTAGTTGAATATTATTTCTGTAAAACCCCCACAACCAGAAAGATACAGCTGAACAACTAGAAACTCTTCTCACAAAAATCATGTGGGAGATGAAAAATGATTTAGTGATTATTGTGGATCAGTGTGAACAACTTGGATCATACAGTTCAATCTTCTTAAGGTTATCTGGATCAGATAAAGTTCTCCTTCTACCAATAGTAGGTACGACAAATTTATCATATCATTCGATTGCTAAATAGCTGGTAAAGTTCCTCAAACCAGTAAGAAGTATATAACAAAAAAATAGCCTAAAGAACACCACAGACCTCGTAAGATCGATGAATAATGTCATCATTTTCTAGAAACGAATGCTTTCTCTGGACTTCTTCTTTCTCTTCATGTTATGTTCCCGAGTGTTTGTTTATAGTATGCACCCTAAAACAACAACTTACTAGTACACCAGATACCACAGACTTCAAATGTGAGACTAAAATAGAGAGAACAAGATTGGTCTTAGTGGAAAAGTTTATTACCTCCAAGAGGATTATTTTCATAACCCAAAACACATGTATATATATGCATGACATGTGACCTTATCCATTATTTGGAACAATAGTATAGTGAATTAGCGAATTCTTTTGAAAAAGGTGGGGAATAAACTGGTCGCTGCATAAAAGAGGACGGAAATGATAGTTTAAGAACATACAGAATAACAAATAATGTTTTATGCAAGACTGAGGCCTCGGAACACTTTGCAAATATTCCCTTTGTCGAGACTATCTGCTTCATATGTAACTTCATCGAGTTCAATGGCTTAGACGTTACCTTACCTGTCAACTACCTGAGAGAACTGCTTCTCAAATGTTGCTTAAGAATTCAAGTTCAACAAAATATTCTATATATAGAAGAATGGCATGACAATGAAGGATTCGGAAGATCTGTTGTGGTGATATATACTGTTCTACATGAAATTGGTTACTCTTCTGTAAGTAATCGGTATATCCACTTGGATCCTACAAAAGGCCATTCAAGGTGCAAATAGTTCAGTGGTAATTTTTGACTGCAGTACTGCCTGATAAAGATTCAAATCTCTCAGGAATCATCAGTTTCCTCGGGGTTACATTTATGCCTAGCTCACAAATATTGATAAACACGAAGCCTAGGTCAAGAAGGCCTTCTCCCGATTGCCATCTGCCGACTGAAACCTAGCAAAGTGCAGTGATACCAAGTTTTCTAATCTAGTGGTCACATGATGAAATGATCAATCTAATTTAGTCAGTACTTAGGACTCGAAAAAATTGAAATTAGTTATTATTCGGTGACCAATCAATGTACACCGTTCAATCTTAATATGGTAATTTAGCATTCATTGTATATATTTTCTGGATCACATGTAAGTCTTCACTTAAATAGCATAAAGATTGTACATTTGAACAAAATGGAAATCTTAAAAGATGATTCTCGTGCTGTTATTTGTTTGTTTGTATCTTTGAGGTAGGAATTCATCTAATTAGGTAATGCATCCACATGGATAGACAAGTCAGCTGATAAAATTGTAAGATCATGGTAATTAATGTGATCTGGGCATACACTACGCTTGTTGAGTCACTACTTGTCTTGACATACCGAAGAAGAATTAGCTTACCAAGAAAGCTAAGGAGGGAGGGCTATAAGTAAAAATAAAGTCTCTGTTTGTTGATCCAATTCTTGTAGGAGATGTAAGTTACCTGACTGGGATGGTCAAGATAATAAGAACCAGTAGTTAGAGACTTGTGGTAACATAGCCCAGATACAGACACTATCTAAAGTCTGAATCTTGAAATTTTACTAGCCTTCACTTGTTTACTGTTTTTGCTGACTAACTAAGGGTCATAAGAAAGCATATTGTTTGCAATACATCCATCTTAATTCCATGATGCAAGTTTGCTTTCCAATACTCAGCTTAATCCCTTTGATTACTGAAAAATAGAATAAGCACTGACAACCAATAAAGTCTCTTACTCGAAGAACTGCTTGTCTGTGAAAAAGCTGATTATTAAGCCACATTGAGGCTAAGTTTACAGTATTATGCAGATAACTTTATTCGGTTGGGGAATACGTTACATTACTCTTTGTGGAGACTCTCCTTTCTTCCAGGCTATCTAAAAATATGCATGCCATGGAGTATATAAACCTTAATCCCCTCATTTTTCGCTTTTCTATTAACCATTACTATAAAATGTATATTTATTTTAGATTGAACAATCTGAAAAGAAAAGATTTGATACATTATTGGAAGAAGGTCAAAAAGAGCTTAGAAAACAATTAAGTAAACTCAATGAACAAATTAAAGAACAGCAAATGAAAATATTCAACCAAGAATTAAAAATTTCCACTATTGAATCAGAGAAAAATGAGGTTAGTAGACACAATTTAGGTGGGTTAATAAAAAGGAAGGAGTAATTTTTAAAGTTTCAAATATTCAACTTTTAGTCAAGCAGAGGCAACTTCTTAAACTATAGACATATCTTTCAATAGTTTAATATAGGAGTGAAACTTAAACACCATGGTAGATTGTAATTCCAGTTGAGTCTGTCTATTAGAAATATCACATAAAGAAACCGTATCATTTGCTGGATTACGTTTCGGACATAATTTATTGTCCACAGTCATTTCAAGATAACTACACAACTTTGAGACATCCTTCACACAGTTCGTCCTAATGTCATCGCCCCCCTTGTGATATGGGTAGTAAGATTTTCCATATATCCAAAACAGGTCCTGAATAATTCCTGTAGCTGCATGTATTAGGTGTTGATTCGACTAACAAAGATTCAGTTATCAGTCTCTTCTTGGAACACATTATGTTAGTTTTAAGGATTTTTACCCTATCCTACCCTATTGTGTGGTAGTATGTAACTCCATGCATAGCTATCGTCGAGCTTTTTTCTAAATTCCTTACCTTACCAAAATCTACCAATTTTAACCTAGCCAGGTTTTTTTGCTCGAATAGATAGTTTGACCTCATAATATGATGACGTCATGATGAATATTATTATTATTTATTATTTGTCCCTTGGGTTTCTAGTGGAACATAGGGCTTCACTAGCATGTCGCCATTTCACTCTCTTCTCTGAAGTCTTCTTAACCTACCTTTACCAATGCCCATAAGCTTTCATTTCTCCCTCACACGATCTCCTCCATGTCAACCTCGCCTCGCCTCAAACTATAGATCAATCTCTGTGGATTATCAAGATGTAATGATGCATGATCGTTACTGAAGCTCAGATGGCCAGAAAGAATAAGCACCAAAAAATTCACTGTGGCTGGCAACCAACCAACCAAGAACCTATCACTCAACAAATATGCAGAAGGAAGTGGAAATGGATTGCGCATACACCAAGAAGACCATTCGGGGACACCACGAGCCATACCCTCGAGTGGAACCCTGATGGGAAACGGCAAGTTGGGTGTCCGAGGGTGATAAGGAGGAGATCATGTGAGGAAGAAATGAGAGCTTCTGAACAGTTGTGGAGCCAGGTTGAAAAGATTGCAGAGAACCAAGCAGAATGGAGACGTGCTACTGAAGCCCTGTGTTCCTCTAGGAACCCAAGGGACAAATAATTTTTAATATTTATATAATAACACATGATCACTTCCGTTCTGGAAACGTAAACATCAAAAACTAGTCAGATGTCAACACTTGACATCATGTCAGAAAAAGAACGAAATACCAAATTTACTGATGCTTGTCACATATTGGTATTGTTATTATCATTATTATTTGTCCCTTGGGTTTCTAGTGGAACATAGGACTTCACTAGCATGTCGCCATTTCACTCTCTTCTCTGAACTCTTCTTAACCTGCCTTTACCAATGCCCATAAGCTTCCATTTCTCCCTCACACGATCTCCTCCATGTCAACCTCGCCTCGGACACCCGACTCGTCGTTTCCAGTCTCGGTTTCACTCGAGGTACTGGCCTGGAGCGTGATGTCCCCAATTAGTCTTCTCAGTGCATGTCCAGTCCCATCCATCTCCACTTTATTCTGCATATTTGTTGGGTGATGGGTTGTTGATTAATTCGTTCCCTGAGATCCTTGCTGCTTATTCTTTCCCACCATCTATCTGATCTTCAGTATCCAGTGAGTGTAGGCTGCAGCTGTTGATGATGTATATCTGAAATGCTTTTCGTAACACGCCAAGTCTTTCAACCATCACATAGAAGCACTGACCTGACTGACTGACATCAGTGCTCAAAATCCGGATCTAGTTCACGCTTTAGGCTGAGTGCAGTGCAGTGCAGTGCAGTGCAGTGCAGTGTAGTGTAGTGTAGTGTAGTGTAGTGTAGTGCAGTAGATCTCCACGCTGATTTCAGGTTAATGAAGGCAGGCCTGTCTTCCTGTCTTTCCGATCCTATCTTTGATGTCCTCATCTGTTCCACCTCAGATGCCTGTGGTTGAAATGATGCTGCCTCGCCTAGGTAGGTGAAAGAGACAACTTCCTTCCACTTTCTTCCATTGATGGTGATTGGCGCTTGTAGTTCTTTCGTTGGTTGGGTATCCTCATCACCTCCGTCTCTCCTACATCCACCTGAAGTCCCGTCTTCGCTGCCTCTCCTCTCCTCTTCTGTCAACTTGTTGCTTTTTGCCTGTAGATCTCGGAGCTTGTGTGACAAGATATTAGTCATAAATCATCGTCGGCGGTGAAATCCAAATCTTCTTCTGGAGTCTTTTCATTGGTCAAACTGCATATGACTCTCTTCTCGTTGCTCACAGTTGTCTGCTGCATGATCCAGTCGAGTCGAGTTGAGTCGACCACAATCAGGAAGATCATCGGCGATAGTAGGTTGCAGCCTTGTATTACTCCTGTCTTCACTTCAAAAGCGTCACTCAGCTTACCGTTGTGAATCACTTGGCACTTAGCATCATATAGCATAACATATAGCTGCTGTTGAATGAGTTTGATAAAGATTTGTGGCAGCAAAACCGTGGTGTTGAAGCAGCTGCCTACCAAATTACTTCTCGGTCGACGCTGTCGAAGGGTTTTCAAATTCGACGAAGTTGAGGTTGAGTTGAGTTGACTGTCATTCTATGTTCTGTTCTGTTCTGTTCTGTGATGATGCGTAGAGGTGCGTTGCAATTTGATCCACACCTGATTTGTTTTTCCTGAAGTCAGTCAGCCTGTATGGGTTGTAATTTTGAATCCATAGCATTGTTTAGTCTCTGGAGGATGATGCGGCATAATATTTTGTTTGGTGTGGAGGGGGACAGGAGCATGATTCCACACGAGTTTTTGCAGAGACTTAGATCTTCCTTCTTCTGTGGTTTGACAAGTTTGCCTTTCTTTCAATCAGTCTGCAGGTATCTTTCCCTCCTTCCTTCCCAACGATTTGCAGTAATGTTGTGAGCATGTCCACTGATGTCTCTGAGTCGTTTACAGTGCTTCTGGGTGAGTTCCATCTAGTCCTGCTGCTTTTCTAGTTCTCAGCAGCCTTATGGCATCCAGGACTCCACTTCTGCTTTTGTCGGAGGATTTTTGTTCAATGATAGTTATGTAGCTAGGCTGCTGGTGGTATTTCTGGATGAGTTGCAGGTGGTCGTCGATTCAAGAGGGTTTTGAAGTGGTCAGCCCATCGTTTCCTTTGTTTCTCCTCTTTGGTAACTAAGTTTTCTTCACTACCTTTCACTATTTTCATCTGCATTGATCTCTTCCCAGATAGTAACCTGGTTATTTGATATAGTGTTGTCAGGTCTCTATTTCTCCTACCTGCAACCTGTTTTGCTTTACTTGTCAGTGTGTCGTGGAGGTGTCTTTTTTCTCTGTGCACACTCTTCTTCACTTCCTTGTCCAATGTAGTGTTTTATACGTTGTACTCAGTTCCTCTTTTCGTTGTTTATCCCTGCACTGCACTGTACTGGTTCATCTTCTAATTCACCATCTTCGTCTCCCTCCTCCGCCAGCCTCCATGTGTCCGTGGAGATCTATTCCTTTTCTTGTTTCTTCTCCTTCTTGCTTCATAAAACGGTTATGCAGGTTTCCTTTCACATCTCTTTGAAGGAGTTCCAGTGTTCTTCCTCGCCCGATCCTTCAAGGATGTTACTTAATGTTTCCCATTTTTTCCTGATAGCTGAAGTGAAGATGTCCTTTGTAGTTTCGTCCTCCATTTTCTGTTCTGAGTGTTAAACTTGAACTGTGGTCGTCTATCGCCAACTTCTTCGAAGACTTTCAACCTGATTTTGAAGGAGGGTTCTTTGCACTATATAGTGAGTGGTCTGAACCTACTTCTGCTCCCCTGCCTCATCTGATCTTGTATCCAGTAAGCCGCGTCTACATCTCCACTTTCTTCACATTGAGATGAAGTCGATCTAAATTTTAGTGTGTCCATCTGTTGAACACAACTCCACGTCGCTTTGTGAATATCCTTGTGTTTGTTAACACTCCCTCCAATCACCAAATCGTTGAACGCTCAGAAGTCTGCAAACAGTTCTCCATTCTCATTCATCAACTCACCGAGTGCTTCTCGACCCATGATCAGTTCTCTTCCTTTGTTATCCGCTCCGAGTTTGGCATTCATGTAGCTCATTAGATTGAATTTTGATGTCACTAACTGGGATGGGGTCTTGTCTAGTACTGATTGCAGTTGTCGTTAGAATTTCTCCTTCTTCTCTTGATCTGGGTTATTTGTAGGTGCATAGCGTAGCATTGTATGATTGTGACTCTCCTTCCTTTTCAGTAGGATCTTCCTGTCATGATCCTGCAGGAGGAGATTGGTTTCCGCCCTATGAAAGAGAGGTTTTGATGTTGTTGGGGACATCATAATGGCCACTCGAAAACTCAATGTGCTCTTGGTTGTCGTCTGGGTGACCGGAGTAGATTATTGACTCTCCAGTTGACAGTTTGGAGAGTTCACTTTCATTCCATCTACTTCCACGGATTCCTAGCACTTCTATGCTATACCTTCTCATCTCTTTGGCAATCTGGGCAGCCTTGCTAGCCAGCTTCAAACATTGTGTGGACATTCCATGTCCCCATTCTTGCTTCCAATGCCATCGAGAGAGAAGACACATCGACCAGTCAGGATCCCGAAGGCTTTCTCCAGAAGGAGTCATTTCGTCGCTACAATTCCAGCGAGGAATAATTTTTTTTTCATTTTTTATATTTTGTTTGTGCTTTGAAGTTTCTGTAGCGATTGGATTGGTTTTACGGGGTAGGGTTTCTAGCCGTATGCCGAACCTTCCATGTTTATCCGGGCTTAGGACCGGTTAGTAACTAGTGAACTAGTTAACTAGACGAGGTTAATGATGAATATGGATAATGAGTTATGTCCGAAACGTTATCCAGTAAGTCGTACTGTTTCATTGTGTGATGTTTGTAATAAGTAGATTAAAATGGAATTTCACTATTTTCTCGATTCATCCGATTTTCGAAATCACTAGAACGATTTCTCTACTGTTGGCTAAAACAACGATGTTTTGCGTAGATTCGGTTCAAGGAGAAATAAATACTGTCTATGAAAATGTTTTATCCTGGCATATTTCAACAATCGAATATTGTTGATACGTGGTGATTGAAGGCAGAATGAAGAAAACTGGTTCATCAACCTTGAAATGATTATGTTACATAAGTTGCTGAAGTTATAACGGTTAGGAATGTAATAAGGCGCTTGAAATAAATACGATAACGACCGTTTGCCCAGTAATCAATGAAAATATCAGAAGACAAAGACTGTCCTGTGATTACATGGACAACTTTATCAAATAAGATCAATCATTTGCTCATACTTTTCATAGAAATTGGCACTATGAAGTATAAAGTTATTCATTAGGATTTACCTTCATTGTTCAGTGAATTAAAATCCTTATTTCTATTTTAGCCGCTCCCAAACAACCTCGTAGCGATAATATCAGTTAGATAAAACATTCCATGACTGAACTGAAGTTAAGATCTGAGCAGAAATTGGTTTCCATAGCTCAAGTAGGAGAGCACCGCACTAGTAGTCCGAGAAACACTAGTTTACATTCCACCATGGGACAGATTTCCATTTCATGTTTAATCGTCACTTCGTGTCAAAAATGTTAGTTTTAATAAGAGTTCACATCACAGGTAAGTCGATTGATGAGGTTAAGGACCTTCATCAGTTAAGGGGGCTTGGATATGTGCTGAGCATGCGAAGCCACCACCTATCTCGACGTTTCATGCTGGAGGAAGTTAGATTAGGTTGGGAAATGCTCAGGGTGGCCAGACCAAGACGTCGCACCAGTCGATGGAGTCTCTGACTGTTCGTCTAGGCCATATAGAGAGGCGTATACTACAGAAGACGAAAGGAATCAGTGTTTGAGGACTTTTGGTGACATGACTGGAAATCGGTGATAGTGACACAGATGTATTCGGTAGCTGACGTTTTTTAAAACTTGAATATTTGTGCTAACCAGTATCTACAGGTTGTTTATTCTCTCGCACGGCCTTATCTATTTTCATATCAGTGTTTCGTCTGTCTACCTGTATGTCGTTTTCGTGAATTGGATTGGAAATGATTATAAAATAAGCTATACTCTCTTCATGAAGATCACTTCATCTGATTTTTGTGTACAGTTTGCAAATAGAAAGCATTAGATGTTGTGTCTCTGAGTGGTATCTTGCCTTTTATTAAACATTATTGGGTGAATTAACTTCATTCTTCACAAAAAAGAAACTGTATTTATGACTTTCATTAGATGAGTGAATAAGGATGCCAAGCGAGGGGACTGGTCGTTTAACCTAGAGCTGATATTTCAAAACAATGTCAACTAAATCTCATTGATATTATTCACTAGATGATGGAAAGTAAGATACTGTTCAGCGTCTGATTGGTGTACCTTTCTCCTCATAATATGTGGTAACAAATTACAGATATCTTTGGACGAGGTTTGTATAATTGATAAACGGTTAGTGGATTTGTTAAACTATCCAATAATTCCTCATCAATAAAGCTTATTTCTTCAATTATCCAGTGTTTGTACGTTCTGTTTTCTTATCCATTGTAATTAATTTTTTAAGGTTGAAATTCTTTTAAAATTTTATTTTTAAAGCTTCTACAGATAAACAAAAAATCAACTGATGAACAGTTGGAATTACGTGAACAAGTCAAATTAATTGAACATTTACTAGCTGTTAAAGATCAAGATATTTCAATGATACAATTTGAATGTCGTCTTTACTCTGATAAAATAAAACAAATTGAATTGGAAAAAGGTCATCTCATCGAGAAGGGAAGGTTAATAAAACAAAGATATCAAGTAAGATACATCATTTAGTCATATAATATGTGAATTATTGAAATTTTTATTCGTGTACACTAACTATGTATCTTCGACTGAGTCATGGGAGCCAATAGGATTTGTTTGCAGCGTCAGAAGAATTTCAAAGGAAAGCGTACAGAAGTAGGTAAACACGACTGAAACAGTACTGTTAGAGACCAACAAGTGGATTAAAGATATGGACATCAGCAAGAAAAAGATAAAATAGATGTATCCCAATGACGTGTTGGCTTTTCGAATGGTTTTCATTCAACAGATTTTAGGGATTTGTCGATGTAAAAGCAGTTTCTATCATGGATAGACATCAGTTAGAAGACTTTTGAAAATCTGGAGACATTAAACAGCTGTTTCATCCTGGTTAAACCCTCTAGAATTCCGCGTTCATGACTTCACAAGAGAACAAACCCAGAACCGTTACGTCTCACCTCAAGTTTATAACCATATAGCTAACGGGTTGCAACCAAGTGGTTAGATCTTAAAAATTCTGCTAGTTCATGATGTGGCAATGAGTATTCTTTTCAGTTCTGACTTTGTTGACCCCAAGAGTCAAAACTTCTCGTTAGGAATTCCAGATATCAATACTGAAGTAAACCATTTGTGAGTCCTGCAAAGTAATTTAACTGGATTCCAATCATTTGACTGAAAAGTAACGCACTTACCATCAGATCGGAAAGTTTTTGGTCTGACCTTTCTTCATATCGTGGGTAAACACTGCTAAGAAGTTTGGAACAAGAACAAAACAGCTGTCGACTTCCCTTTGGTTTTCCATGGTTTCTTAAGTGGTGTCAATCTGCGATGAACACTTCTTTCATTTCGAAAGATTTTCCTTGAGTGAATGCACCATATTTCATTGCCTGTATTTCGCAGTTATAGAAGACAATAAATGAAACTGATGGATGACCCTAGAAATGCATTTTACTAAGTTATTTAATTAGTCTGCTTTTCACAAGTACAAAGGCTTCTCGTGATGTGAAACATTTATATGAAAATGATTAAGTCAAGTAGGGAAGAATAAAACCCGTGAATTGTTCAACTTGTAAGAGTTTCCAAAAAAATTTGAGAATAATCAGCTGGACGTAAAAAGTCAAGTCTAACCAATAAGTCTAATTTGACATTTTTTAAACTAGGGTTAAAACTTGCCATTTTTATGTACATCCGTAAGCGAATTACTTCAATTTGGCATTCATTATGGACTGACATCAGTTGAAGAAACACTGGAAACCTAGAAGCACTGGACAGCTATTTCTTCCTAGTATGGGATTCAGCAGTGCACAGCAGTGACCATGTCAGGGATCGAACCGAGAGCCTTCAGGTTTCGCCCCTAGTACTTTGTCAATGAACCACTGGGTCGGAATTCAGTGATCCGTGCTTACTACTCCCTTCAGTTCACGATATCAATAAATAAATCCCTATAAACCTCCAAACTGAATTACTTCTAGTTACTTGTATTATCCCATCTTTGATTGGACCAAATCGACCGGTCTATGTTGGGATACGGGCTCCTGCGCGGATGCTTCGGTATTGCCTGTGTTTTATACGTATATTAATGATGCACAGTGGCTAGCAGTGGAGTCCAGGACGTGCCTTTCTTTCTATTTGGGGCTCTTTGGGTGGATGTACCCACCTCTCAGTGAATGCTGCTGTTTACACTGGGACTCGAACTTGAGACCGATAGCTCAGTGGTCTGGTAGATAACGCTGTGGTATTTGAAGCGACCGGTCCCGAGTTCGAATCCCGGTGGAAACAACATCACTCATTGGGAGGCAGGTACCTCCATCCGACCAGTCCCAAATAAGACGAGACGCACGTCCTGAATTCCACTGCTAGCCATTATTCATCATAAATTACTTCTAGTAAGAAAGGAAAGTGTAATAATATGACGCCTATTTGTATAAAGTAAGAATCCAATATGGTTTACGGTAGTTATCCTTATTTCTATTGTATAATCTCAATCAAATAAAGTCTGTGTGGTTTTGCTTGAAAGCCTAGTTTATTTCTTAAAACAACTCTTTTATTTTTACTCTAACTCAGAACCGACCTGATATCATACACGAATATTTTAGTCATGTTACATTCTAACCACTTAATTCACCTAATAAACTTCTAATTATCATTAAGGTAACTACTAATTTTGATTTAAAAATGAAAACTGGTCTTGAGAGAAAACTTGATTCACATGAAGATCGTAATCCATAGTTTCCCACTACAAATGCTTCATTGTACCAACTGGTTTCAGAGAATGATAGAAAATATTTGTAGCTCAGGATGATGATGGTGTTCTTTGAGCTTTGATATTTTGTTGTGAACGTCTGATCACCAGGCTTACTGATACCTTCATCACCAAACAAGCGAAGTATATTTGAATATTACACGAATGTTTGGGCAGTGTTTTTAGTGACTTTCAGTATTGTCCAATTGTAAGTTGGGAAAGAGATTTTTCATTACACCCTGACCATTTTGACCTTATATTTTTCTTCAAAGCTCAGAGAACATAAAACTACCATTATCTTTATCTTGAGCTACGAATCTTCGTCATCATTTCAAAATCTCTTGAGGGAAAAGTGCTTCTCTGTGCTCAAAGATAGGAGAACTTCACCGGTGGAACAGCTTCCACTCAAGAGCAGCTTTTCTTCTCATACGAGTGTTTACGGCATAACATCTTCCACAAAGTGTTGGATAAAAGCCACGCATCAACTATCCTACTGGGTGGAAGATTACACAATAAAATGGCAAAAAAATGGTGTAACTGAAGGAAATATAAGGTCAGGATGTAATGAAAAATCTCTTTCCCAATTCACAACTGGACAACACCCAAGGTCAATGAAAACACTATCTAAACGGTGGTGTAATATCCGAATATGCTTCACTTGTTTATGAAGTTATTGCTGAAGATATTCACAACAAAATATCGAAGCTCACCGAACACCAAACCATCACCATGGTTTGGAGAATTCATGACTTGTTACTTGGATTTTAAGCAAGAATGCTTACACAAATTGCGTTCTTACAAAATTTGCACAAAACAGTCTGTAATTAAAGATGGAAATTCGACCTGAATAGAAAGTAATGAATTCATGCATCTTATTCGATAAAGTACCAAGTTGGTAATACGCAGACAGCTGTTTTAAGTTTCGCTATTCAGATATTCATTCAACCTATGAGTAGAAATCTTAGTTTACCAAATAAACGTATTGAAAACTATTTGCTTGATTAATAATTTCCTTTTTCGCAGAGTAGTAAGAACTATTTATCTTAGAGCTATTCGTTACTGGCCAGAGAAATACAATCAATTATCTGTCGTATTGTTCGAATCCATTATTGAGAATGCAATATATTTGTGTAACTGGAAACCCCTACTTACGTAATTAACTGACAAATTTATTTACATTGATCGGTAACTGGATAGCAACCGATTTCATATTGTGCAGTCCTCAATGTTGACTGAATTCTATCGGTCATTTTCTAATGTGGTCACCAGGCTAGAAGACTCAGTATCACGATGCACCTTGATAGGTATTACCTCAGTTGAATGCCTTCGTTGGTTGACTGCCCTCACGTCCAACTTGGTCAACCCACCGGTCCCGACTTCTCATTAGAACCTCGGGAATCACCTCTCAAAGCTAGTCACAAATGAGCACTAAATTAATTCAGTTTGGGGGTTTGAGAGGGTTTATTGATCCCACTGATCCGATGGTTCTCCAGCCGATGCCAGTCTATGATGCATACCAATGTGAAATCAGTCAATCCCCTCAAAGCACTAAATCTCATGACCACTTTAAACCTTTATGATAATACTTGTGCATACACTCATATAGTCTTCATATCAATGTAAATTACCTCTTGATATGGAAAACAGAACTGTAAGTATATATATTTCCACACATGTTTTTTTTCTTTTTCGTCTATATTTCATAAGAATAAAGCTAGACATGCATGGGACCACTGTCAAACTGTTCGAGCACGTTTAAATCGACGACTAATACAAATACGTTATAACAGAGACTTGTTATCGAAACATTTACGAAAACAATATGAACAAATGAATCGTTTAAATCATCTTTTCTGGGAAACAGGTTGGGCCTATGTTCAAACACAAAACTGTCTGCAAGATATACGTAAACAAGATAAAGAATATGTCGATAAAGAAATGCAAACAATTGCAGTTACTAACAAAATTAAGCAGGTGAGTTCTTTTGAGACAAACAACTAGGTACATATATGTACTAGTGAACAAGATCAGGTTTTTATTGAGCCTTAGTTATAAATTTGAAAGTGTAATGATAAAGCTCAATTTGACATTTATTTAAAAACAAATGAAAAACTTCAGGGGCTTGAGTAAAAATAATTTTAGTTGGGAATCTGACTACTTACAAATATAAAAGTAGCGACTGTAATAACTTCGACAAATCTGGAGTGCTTGGAGTGATGAGCAAGAAGATACCCTACAGATATCGTTGGAACAATACTGATATTATCTTTGTAAATATCTAGCACACTTACTGCTCTTTCCACTATGAAAACGAAGTAAGTGTTTTTAGAAGACTATGAAAAATAGAATGCCATTGAAGAAATATCATTAGGAGAGACATTTTATGCTGCGTGATTACACTGTTCAATATAGAAATTCAGTACTCAGATATCACCTTGAAGATATTAATAACACTCTGTTGAATATATTTCCCGTTATTTTTTCCTTGAAGAAAAGGTATAATACTCAGTAGATTTGTTAGTATTAAAATGGTGGGTACTTTAGGGATTCATAGATGACGTACAAGATGATAGCTAGAAAACTACTTCAATAAAAAGAAAATGTGACCATGAACAGAGTATTGTCACGGGGCTGATGGAATTTTTAAAAGTCTGGATAAATCACTGAGACTTAAAGTCAAAGTCTTTATGGTATAAAAACGAATCCATATGACTCCATGGCAATTAGCTGTGTGATCCATTTTCTGGATCCAGTTATCTTTCAACTGACGTCACTTTGACTCAACATTGATCACATGTTTACCAGTAGACGCATCAACGAAATAGTGTCGGTGGATAAGAACGCTTGAGTTTTAGCTGTGTCTTTTCAAACTTTAAGTCATCCAGCCTTTAGTTTGATGATTCTCGGAAGCGCGCATGCGAATAACAGGAAGTATAGCTAACTTTCAGTCCTTTTTCTTTTGAGCGTATCCCTTCTAGCGTCCTCATTTCGAATCGCAAATGCCTTAAACATCAGCCCACCATTCTTATTCAAGTTTCTACCACTATTACACGTCCTCATCCTCACTCAGTTCAGTTAGTTTCAATCAATTAACGGATACCATCGATAACAACCTCCAAGCTGTGCATTGTCGCCAGGAAAACAAATCTACACTGTTGATACCACTGTAAACTGGTTGGTTCAATCATATTCACTGATACATATTTACTAGTCACTGACATACTAAGTGTCAAGTGCACAATGTGTAGTATAACTTATCTCAGCTTTAGATATGAGTTGACAAAGAAGGAATTATTACAAATGGATTTCCAACTCTTGCATGAAATACACCTTAATATAAAACCCTATTTCATAACTCCTAAGAAGAGTGATGACAACAGCCATCGAAGTTGGCAAAATACATTTAAGCATAGAATCCCTTCACTTTATCGTCATCCAAATTATTGAGACACTTATTCAGAGTGAGCGGGATCAACATCGAATGCAAAAAAACTCTAAGAATCATTGTAATTTCAATTCTGATTGGTTGCTTCGAAGTTATTTAAGAGTATCTGTAAGATGGTAGAATTCTTCGATTCTGCTGTTAAAAGAAGTACACTACACCAGCTATTGAATTGGAGAAAACCTACATCTTATTAAAATATCTGACACTATGTGAAGGCTGTAAACAGCCAAAGAAAGTGATCACAATACCATAGTCAAATATAAAGAGGATGAGATTTAATGGTATCCTGACCAGCAATGAACTGGATGGTTTGAAAAAATTTGAGTACCGAGTTAGTAGGATTCATCGTATAAGGTATATTTTTACTTGTGTAGTCCCGAGATTATTCAAATGGTGAATATCACTGAAGAAACTTTCTCAGCTTTGAAATCCATCCCTTTTCTTAGCGTGATAAAAAATTACTTTCTATTTAGAAAGTTATCAAGTAAATATTTCCGCTTAAGTGTATGAGACAAACGTCAACTTAGCAAAATAAAATGGGATTTTACTCAATTTTTATCGTTATGTTAGAAAAAAGATTGAATCTAGAAGGCAACTTGATATCTATCCTGTACACTAGTTCTGACTGTGCAGTACATACGCACTTGAAGCCTGCTTAACCGTTTCGTAGTCATAAAATAGTGCGAATTATCTGAAGGATAACAGCAATAAAACGTTCTAGAAAATTAATTGAAATAATAAGTTAAGTCAAAGAAGTGCATCGCAAAAGGGGTACGAGCGATGGCAAGAAATCGAATATTTCCTTCGTATTGTTTATACGCAGAAATCTCGCACATGAATATACACACCGTATTTATTTAGCAGTAACTATAATCTTCCATAATCAGACACCTGTTTTATCTGCTATGCAAGAGTGTCTCACAGATACATCAAACCTTCTGTTTTGAAGAAGAGAAAAGGTATCAACTTAGGAAACATTAGGATAGTTAAGATGTTCGCTTAACTATATATGTATGGTTAAACGATTATAAATAGATTTAAAATGAAAGCTAGGACGCTAGTACTTGGACTCTACAGGGTTAAAAAAGTCTACCGCAAACACAAAAGGTTCAATCATGTCCATTATGTTCACCGGATTTATCATGGTTGAACATACTGTAGCCAGTTTATTGTAGCAGATTAATGTGAAAGATGGTTTGAAGTTTTCTTTGACTATGAATAGGCGTTTTCTGCTCCGTCTCCTTAGTGGTCTCATGATATCGGAAGTGGGGATGTACTTAACAACCACGAACACTTTTGATCAGTAGGCGATAAGCAACACTTACAGTGTGACGGCTAGTGTTCATATGCATCTATCTGGACGTTGGCAGGTGGGACACGTTTCTAATGTGTAACTCATTCGCTGAAATTTGAGTGCAAATAGCAGTGAGACAGCTGAAAATCTCACAATATGGAAATTGTTAGTTAACTGCTTGATGCAACTCAAAGCCTAGACATTAAAGCAAAGTAATTTACTCATTTTACATGAATGATTTTCCTCTGTGAAACACGTTACATAACGTATATGCGTATCTAAGAGGTTTTGCTAACCGTTTGACAGTCTTATAAGGTTCCAAAATATTATCTTTACTCTGGTTTGTACTTTTCTTCCGTTTTCGTCTTAATTGTGAGTAATGTATGTAATTTTTCGGATCAAGTGGACCTCCACTTGAATATCCACTTCTTAAAAAAAGTATATAGAACCCGTCTATACAGCTGACATTTAAAAAAAGGCATTCATTTAAAATACGTATAATTATCCCATCGCTAAGTAGAAGTTTCAGGCACGGAAGAAAATTCACTTCACAAAAACGTTCACTATCGAAATCTTTGGAGATTTATTCATTGCAAGTTAGAATTCGTTACGGATTGATATCACTCGGCGAACTATTGAAAACCTGGGAGTACTGGATAGCTGTTCCTTTCTAAGATGATACTTTTCAACAATGCCAACAGTCAAAGATCGAATTTAGGACCCTCATGTTTCGCAGCGAGCACGTTACCACTGAGATCATTGTCCTCAGGTTTTCAGTAGTTATTCGACTCACGACAGATAGCTGCTACCTTGACGCGATGATCGGGTCTAACGACTCAACGAACCATATTGACTGAAAAGTTTGTTCTGTCGACGTCCTACTATGTCGGAAATGTCTGTTGGATAGTAATTGTACAAAAAGAAGTAACCATTATGGTGTAAACTGCTACACCAAGATGAGGGTCCGAAGGCAAAGTCATACTGCTTACTGAATGGACTTTGACAGCATCAAGATGTTTCTCATGGATGACCAGCAGTGTCACGCTGATGCTGCCTTCCCAACAGGAAAGGAGGTAAGAAAAACAAAGCCCCCAAGATAGCACACTTCCGCCCCCTCACGAAATGCTGATGCCCGCAACAGGGATTCATGGTCGAATTCAAAAGCAAACAACCAAAATTCTTTAAATTGCCGAAAAGCCGCGTGTGACCGGCCTCGAGCATATGTCTCTTAGGGTCTGCGGTTGCACACTATCCATTCTTTTTCAGGTACCTTGAGAAGAACCAACCTCTCACGGTATAGGCAGCCGGAAAGTTTCAAACGACCTCACGCTTCCAGTAGTAAACACTATCCATCCTCCTAAACAAGATTTCATGACATTATTTTTGTTAAAGATAAACGTCTTTCTGGGTTGCATTCTTTGGCAACAAATATCAATTAGTTGAGTTTATACTCAGTGTACTAAAATGTGTGGAGGTCTACTGCACTCAGCATAAGGAACAAGATTCTTATTTTCAACTTTAATGTCAGTCAAGTCAGTGCTTCTATGGGATGGTTGAGAGATATGGCGGCGCGTTACGAAAAGCATTTCTAACAAACTGCATACATGTAGCATGAACAGCTGCCGCCTACGCTCACTCGATACTGACACTGAAGATCAGATGGCCAGAAAGAATAGGCAACAAGGAACTCTGGCAACGAACCAACCAACAATCTATCACCCAACAAATATGCAGAAGGAAGTGGAGATTGATTGGGCATACAGTGAGAAGACCGATTGAGGTCATCACGCACGAGGCCAGGCCCTCGAGTGGAACTCGCACGAGAAATAACGGGTTGGGCGTCTGAGGCGAGGGCGACATGGAGGAGATCATGTGAGGAAGAAATGGAAGCTTGTGGGCAGTCGTGTAGTCAGGTTAAGAAGACTATAGAGAAGAGAGTGGAATGGAGACATGCTACTGAAGTCCTATGTTACACTAGGAACCCAAGGGACAAGTAAATAAATAAAAAGTACTGAAAAGTGTGAAATCATTCTAAAACATCTTTTTAGTGATAGGAAACATACAAATTTAAAAACTCAGCGTATTCTATTGTAAAATTGTTTTTCTTAGCTATCACAGAAGACAGATACATAAATAGATTAAAACTGATCAGGCATATGAGAACTATGTATGTCTTCTTCTCAAATGTGATCCAAAATTTATTTCATCCTTAGTCTTCACCCAATATCAAATATATAAGCATTCAATACTGATAAGTAGAAGCCCAATGTGTTTTGTTTGGTACTTATAGGAATATTTTACCTCAAAAAGAGTATACGTATATATGTGGTCATATACATAGTTGTCCTAATTTGTAACTTCTTATATATTTTCATAGTTGTACATCTGTTCTATTTTTTAGTCTAATATGGCAGTTGATCAGATGACACAGACTGAAATTTCATATTTCGATGCTGAAGTAAACGATGATACAGTTATGTCATGCGCTATTGCATGGATTTCAAATGATTTGGATAATTTAGCAGAAAAATTAGAAAAGTTAATTAAATACCAAGGCACAGGTTAGTTTACTTTTTAAGATATCGGAGGAATGTGCTTCATTAAAGATAATATATGAACATTAAGTGACAAGAAATTAAGAAAGGCGTTTCTCATATTCAACCAACGCAGTAAATCATTCATATATTCTTAGAAAAGTTGTAGTAATAACAGAAGTATTATCACTACTAACAGGTAAGAAGTCAGCTGGGTTTATTCGTCTACAGAAGAAAGGACAGATTTCGGATATTTTGATTATAGGGAACATAAGATGGTGATGAAAAACTGTTTTGTTAAACCATTTCCCCACTAGTCTAGTAGATAACGCTTTGGTGTTTGAAGTGATGGGTAGTGGATTTGAGTCTCAGTGGGAATAGCATTACTCATTGAGATGCTGGTATGTCCAGCTGAAGAGTCCCAAAAAGGACGAAATGCGCATACTGGATTTCATTGCCAGTCACCAACATCCTGGTGACTCATAAACGTTTTTTTTTTCAGGTAAATAAATCTAAAGTAAACAATGGAGTTAAAGTGTTAAAGTATCTCAGATACTAGACGCATGTTTTTGCAACAGGCAATGAGCCACAAGTACTGTGTGAGAGTTAGTGATACAAAATGACTGGTTAAGCCTTAGTAGGAAGGACATGGTTTGGGTACCCAGATCAGTGAGTCAGAGCTTAATATTTAGGGCGCAGTGAAATTAGTATGCAGATACTATTCGTAAGGTACTATTGAATGATATATTTTTGATTGTTTAATGAAACTGAATTTCGACCTCAGAATACCGACACAAAGTGTAAATAATTTCCGAACAACGCCTTATATCACAGAGCATTCAGTAACTAACACATAACTTTACCAAAAAAGATGTCTAGGGGGATATCTGAATTTATAATATATGATATGAGTAGACATTCAAGCTGAAATAGCAGTTTAAGTGATCGTTTAGGACTCGACCCATGAGTTCAGTTTTGCACTGTATCATCATTCTACCCTAATTCACACAGAAAGAATATGAATCACGTTAGTGTCACACCACAGCTCATTTTGATGTAGTCAAAAGCTTTAGAATACTAGTTCTTGAGTTTGCTTTTCGCCTCTCACTTCCAAAAGCATCATTTAAAAACACTAAATGTTATAGTAACGTGACTTTACCATTGGTATTATTGCTTGCGATAAGTTTAGTGGAACGATACTGATGAATTTTCATAACTTTTAGTTGGTTTATTTATGGAATTCCTTTGTTGGAAATCAGCAGTCTCAGAAGACGTAAATTGTCTGAACCGTGTAATGTATTTGCGCAACACATTTCAAACTGTCTGATCATACACGTACTTGTCATGGGTATTTACATTAAAACTCATGAAGATAAGGGGTGAGAAAATAAAAAGAGGGCGGGTAGTAAGGCTGAATTAAAGGCCGAATAACAATGAAAATCAATACATCGAACTTGGTTTTCAATAGTTGAATTTACCAAGGAAGATTTAATGTAACAACAAATTGTTTATGAACATATAAAGGTGGTTTCAACTTTCTAATAGCTAAGGCTTCAACAAATTTCAGGATCCCTCCCCAACATGTTTTGTAAATAGGTATAAAGGAAGTAGCCATATCAATCCTGTGGCCTGTTTCAACGATATGTTTGGCGATCGAAGAACTTGGACGTCTGCTACCAACATTTATAGGTTTAGGCGATTTAATTTGCTTCTGAAGCTACTTTGGAATATGTTCCGAGGCCCTTACTTGCATGGATCTATTAGTCCTCCCTATGTATGTGTCACCACACGTACATTTGAATTGGTAGATACAATGGAATGTGACATTGTCGTTCACACGCTGTGGGGGTTTAGGGGAATATACGGGCTTCGTGGTTTCGATTACTTGAACCCTGGCTGCATAGTAAGTCCTTCTAATAAATACCTATGATAAGTGCGTGTATGATCAAATAGCTCGAAATGTGTTACGCAAATACATTACACGGGGTCCAGACAATTTACGTCTTCTTATTGTTTTGTCGAAGTTTATAAAGGGAACTAATTGTTTTAAAGTCTCAGAAGCATATCCGATCTAGTTTTGTAGCAGGTTGGCCTTCATAGTTCAGCAGTGATATCTTTAACTGAAATAGGGTGTTACACTGGGTTGAGTTTCTAAGGAAGTATGAATTCCTTTAAGATTTTAGATGTGAGTTGCTGATGAATGAAAATGAGTAGAAATCTCAGGCATAACGTTTTCTATCTGTTGTCCTAATCTTGCCATACCAAGTTGAGGTCTGCCCAGAGTCATTGTTTAAGATCTTCCCAAGATCTCGCCTCCCTCAGGGTTTCCACTATTATCATTATTACGTTGTACGGGAATCAGTTTGTCATGGAAGGATATTTCAAATGGCTTAATAAATAATCCCTGATTCTGTCTTTCTAGTCAATTAAAGTAACTTCAGCTGTTCGCTTCAATTTATCATTTATTTTAACATCCCAATGAAGTCTTTGAATTTGTTAGCACTTAGGTGAAGTGCAGGCAAAGCAGCAGGACCATATTAAATTCCGCCAGAAGCACTGGAAACAGACGCAGAGACAACGACGTACATGCTCATACCACTACTGCAAAAGGTTTGGAAGGAAAAGTACATGTAGACTGGAAGGAGGACAACCTTATCAAACTCCCAAAGAAGGGAGACCTAAGCCTTTGCAAGAACTGGTACGGATTCAGTCTTCTGTTCATCCCAAGCAAAATGGTATGCCTCATCATCCTAAAGAGACTAAAAGATGCTCTGGATTCAAAATTAGGACATGTGCGGATCAAATTGCAACGCTACGCTTCACATCATCATAGAACTGATCGTAGAATAGCAGTCTACTCTGTACCTCAACCTTATCGATTTTGAAAACGACTTTGACAGCGTCGACCGAGAAGTAATTTGGTAGGCAGCTGCTTCAACACCACGGTTTTACTGCCACAAATCTTTATAAACCTCGCTCAACAGCTATATAAAGACGCCACATGCCAAGTGATCCACAATGGAAAACTGAGTGAGGCCTTTGAAGTGAAGACAGGAGTAAGACAAGGTTACCGCCTACTATCGCCGATCCCCTTCTTGATTGTGGTTGACTGGACAGAACTGGATCATGCAGTGAACCGTGAAAAGCAAGAAGATGGACGTACGCTGGCTGGCTGGATGAAAAGAACCCAGAAGAAAACTTTGATTTCGCCGCCAATGATGATTTATGTCTAATGTCTTGTCACACAAACTCGAAGATCTGCAGGTGAAAACTAACAAGGTGACAGTAGAAGCGAGGCAGTGAAGGAAGACGCGACTTCAAGTGAATGTAGAGAAGACGGAGGCAATGAAGATACCTAACCACCAGCACCAACCACAACAACAAGCGCCAATCACCATGAACGGGAGAAACCTAAAGGAAGTAGTGTCTTTCACCTACCCACCCAGGCAGCATCGTTTCAACTACAGGCGGCGGCAAAGATGAGGATATCAAAACCAGGTTTGGAAAAGCGAGGCAGGCATTCATGAATCTGAAATCGGTGTGGAGATCTACTGCACTCAGAGCAAAGCATGAACAAGATCCGGATTTTCAATACTAATGTCAAGTCAGTGCTGCTATCCGGTTCCGAAACTTGGCACGTCACGAAAAGCATTTCCAACAAACAACAGACATTCATCAACGGCTGCCTTCGCTCGGTACTGACACTGAAGATCAAATGTCCACAAAGAATAAGCAACAAAGAACTCTGGCAACGAACTAACCAACAACCTTTCACCCAACAAATATGTAGAAGGAAGTGGAGATTGATTGGGCATACACTGAGAAGGCTGACTGGGGAAATCACGCACCAGGGCAGACCTTCGAATGGAATCCAAAGGGGAAACGACGTGTTGGGCGTCCGAGGCGAGGGTCATATGGAGATCATGTGAGGAGGAAATGAAAGCATGTGGGCTGTCGTGGCGTCTGGTTCAAAAGACTGCAGAGGATAGAGTGGAATGGAGGCGTGCTACTGAAGCCCTATATTCCACTAGGAACCCAAGGGGAATAAACCTTAGAAATAATCCAACAATTTGAAATGTGAAATAATAAACAATTTGTAGCATCCTAAATGGTAAGATTTTTCACGACGTATCAGTCATACGGCTCCAATAAAAGGTGATTTTAGCTAGATTTGATAAATATGATAGTGGTTAGCGTAGTGAAAGTTTACGAAGTAACCAAACAATAAACCGCTGTCATCTTTCAGTTTTGCTTCCCTCCATCGACGTTCAGTCTACTTTGTTCCAGCCGATTCTCTGCTCCTGTAACTTTCACTGAAGAAACCACACTAGATAGTAATGGAAAGCGTTCATATCCGTAACATGCGTTACAGACTGAGTAATTATCACTGATTATTTTAATTTGGAAATAACAAGAAATACAATGATCATCTCAAAACCATCCTTTAACCAACATATCAGATCGTTTTAATAAATCATTAAGTGACTTTCACAAAATATTGATATCAGTTGGAAAATATTGTAAAGTCAGGGAAGTTCATATCAACCTGCAAAATAAGTCTATTTAAAAATCATACTAAGGACCTCTGAGTTGTCCGGTAAAGACTCAAACGTATGATTTACATTTTGTACTGATAATTGGTTATTTTTAATTTTGACACGACTTATCTACTGGTATCGTGTAATGGACATTTGTTGCATTGAATAAAGTCCATGTAGACAGCTAAGCTATCTTATAAGAAATTATTCTTACTAGTTACAGAGTTAACTTGAAGTTAAGCTGCTATGAGTTGGGAATGAATTGCATATCCACTAGGCTATTGAATCAGAACAGTCGTATGAGATAGTAGTCAAAATCAACATGAAACCTGCCACTAGTGCTTAACTGCCAAGTCGACACGTATATTGCCATGTCTTCGAAGATGACAAAGAATGTATGTACATATATTCCGTTATGATCGATTTTGTCATACCACCGATGGTTTCTAAACATTGATTCTTATTGTAACGAAGACCAAATTCAGACAACCCATGTCTCTCTACATGGCCTATAGAAACAGAGAGCTGATGAACTGGTACCGTGACATACTCTGACCACCTTCGATCTTCTTCCAGGCCATTGGTACTTCAGCGAGAACAGTATGTTAAAGTAGGTAGTGATTCAAGCACCTGCGACACATATCCAAGTTACCTCATCGGATGCACTCGTGAAATATTATCAACTGAATTGCTTCCTCTGCCTAGTACTCTATGATTGGTCACAACACTATACAAATAGTGATTTCACCACACGTGACCAATTCTATGAAGATATCTATGGTCATAAACCTGTAACCCCTTCAGACCTACTTTGAATGTGCTTATCTCATAGTCGTCTACTAGGAGACAGTGGACCAAGACATAAAGATCGATAAAAAAGGTATTATTCATAGGCAGTAGTCAGTTCAATAGGGTCACTAGAAAGATTACTTATGAAATATACATTTAAGTGAACTGTTTTCAAGATAGACAGTCGTGTTCTCGGTAGCAGTTATACATATGATTTCTGGATTGATGGCAAATGCTTTAAATGCTACCTTTCTTTCTAAATACAATCAAAAGAACAGCTCTTTTCAACTGTATGAGAGTACAGTAGACAAACAGTAAATAAAAGTGTACTAAGACTGATACCAACTGAATGGAGTTAAAAAAAAATATGAGAGAAATCATCTAGTTATTATACATACTAGGCTGTTTCATCCACTGTTTGGTACCGTAGGACTTGACCTACTGGGATCAGAAATCAAGGTGTCAGATGCTACAGTTCCGAGAACGAGTTTCATACTGGTAGCGGGGAAAAAATGAAACTTAAACAATAACAGGCATATAAAAACCTTTCATGAGTAATGTTGAAGCTTTTTCAAAGAATCAGTCAACCGTCACAGTAGAATCTCCGACTATTAGTAAGCAAGAGTCAACAAAAATTATTGTTGAAGGTATGGTGACATATAATTTATGCCAAGGGTCTAAAAGATACAGTGTAACAGTAAGTAACTGTACCACTTTATGTCATATCAAACAAAAACCTGATATAGAATCAAAGAGTGCTTGTTTTCAACGTCCCTTATTCATAATGATAAAGAGACTAAATTGCCATCAAATAAATGAAAATCATAGCAGTGATGGATAGTGGCTAGCAATGGAATCCTAAACATATGTTTCGTCCTATTTAGGACTCGTCAGTTGGATGTACCTGCACCCCAGTGGGCGATGTCATTCGCACTAAAACTTGAATCCAGAACAAATAGATTTAAGTGCCAGAGCATTATCCACTAGGCCAGGAAGTCAGGATAGCCACCTTCTGTATGATGAGTATGCCTTTTAGATTGTTGCACACAGATGTATCGGTTCAATTCGCCACACTTCACAGTAGTACCCGAAGAACAGGTGAATAGAATAAAAGTATTATCAAAATAGACAAAGTAGTGTGGGAGAATAAACAATTTGAAGATGAAGGTTACTGCAAATATTCAAGCTTCAGAAGAAGTCAAGGAGTGAATACATATGTGCCATTGTGACTATGATCGATTTCCAGCAACATCACCGAGTCCTCTACCACTGATTCCTATAGTCTTTCAGAACCCAGTCAGGTAGTCGATTTCACTCCACACAGCACAGAGCAATGGTAGGAAGATTTTATCGACTGGTGTCACTAATTGGTCTGGTCACCCTGATAATACAGGGAACAACATAAAAATGAAAACTTCATTCCCTTCTTGATTGTAGCTCTTTCTGCACTACTGACATTGTTCCATACACCGTTGGAACTAAAATGAAAATACCTTTGAGAAATCAAATTGTTGGATTATTTCTAAGGTTTATTCCCCTTGGGTACCTAGTGGAATATAGGGCTTCAGTAGCACGCCTCCATTCCACTCTATCCTCTGCAGTCTTTTGAACCTGACGCCACGACAGCCCACAAGCTTTCATTTCCTCCTCACATGATCTCCATATGACCCTCGCCTCGGACGCCCAACTCGTCGTTCCCCCTTTGGATTCCATTCGAAGGTCTGCCCTGGTGCGTGATTTCCCCAGTCAGCCTTCTCAGTGTATGCCCAATCAATCTCCACTTCCTTCTACATATTTGTTGGGTGAAAGGTTGTTGGTTAGTTCGTTGCCAGAGTTCTTTGTTGCTTATTCTTTGTGGACATCTGATCTTCAGTGTCAGTACCGAGCGTAGGCAGCCGTTGATGAATGTCTGTTGTTTGTTGGAAATGCTTTTCGTGACGTGCCAAGTTTCGGAACCGGATAGCAGCACTGACTTGACATTAGTATTGAAAATCCGGATCTTGTTCATGCTTTGCTCTGAGTGCAGTAGATCTCCACACCGATTTCAGATTCATGAATGCCTGCCTCGCTTTTCCAAACCTGGTTTTGATATCCTCATCTTTGCCGCCGCCTGTAGTTGAAACGATGCTGCCTGGGTGGGTAGGTGAAAGAGACTACTTCCTTTAGGTTTCTCCCGTTCATGGTGATTGGCGCTTGTTGTTGTGGTTTTTGATGCTATTGTTGGTTGGGTACCTTCATCACCAGATTAACAGTAGTTTTCAGTTGTTGATTTATACTGCGAATATTCACTTGCTGAAACTTAAGATAACATTATAAACGATTACAGACATCTAAGTTGAATCAATTAAACGGATATATTTTTCTTATTTTTACATTCAGAAAAGTGTTATGACTTTGAAGGACAGTATGATGAAGAATTGCATATTGGGATTAACGAGAAAGTGTCTTTGTTCTCCTTGATTTTGGGTTTAAAGTATAAAGTGAATTGGTTACGTAGATGGTGTAATCAATTAACGAATTCCACTCTTAACAATCAGAATTTCGAGGTAAGCTGTTCATAAACACATCAATTGTTACCTCAACGCTATGATAAATACTTAAAAACATCACTATTATTATAGTCAAAACTTTTGTCAACCTTTTTTCTAGATAACACATAAATTGAAACAGTATTACTCATAGAATGACGTTTTGAACAGAATTTATTGTTCACATTAAAGTTAATTCCACGTCATTCACATCCTGTTTTCATAGTGCTATTTCTCCTTCTCGTTCATTTGTCGTACAGCTAGTAGAATTTTCTAAATTTCTAGATCGTATTGAATCATTCTTGGTGCATGTGTCCCATGACAATTCAATAAACAAAGTTTCAGTTCTCAATGTCTTCCTTCCCCCCCCCCCCAATTAAGTCGGTTTTACGGGCTGTTACTTTATCCCCTCCTATTGTACGTGATTGCATGCATTGTCATGGCTCAAGTTTTCCCTAGGTTCTTTAGCATACTAGGCCCTATCGTTCTGGATATGGTGAAGGTAATGGGGTCTGTTACCCTTGTTGGCCCTGTTCGACTATACTGATCTCACAGTGGTTAGATGCAGTTTGATAAAACATTATTCTCTCTCAAGGGCTCTATAGTATCTTAAGGCTTACAAAACGTCTTCCTTACTGTTAGTAGGTTTAAATGCTACCTTGTCCTAGCTGAGTCAAGAATCCTGTATATGCCTTATGAGGTACGTTATATAAGGCACAGTGGAGGTCTTGAGTTCTCGTTGCCATTATTAGCATTTATACTGTCTGTGTCTGTGTTACCCATCATTTTTCTAACAATTTCCTATACATTTCTTCATCATTTTACGAAGATTATTATTCAGGAATAAGGTTTTTTTAACGTCTTCTTGCCTGTCAAAAATTTTTGCGTTACTGCTTAGACCTTGTAGTGCACCTTCCTGACACCAAAATATAACTAGGGCTAAAATAAATAGTTTAAGTTAAATCAACTAAATAAATCTCTAGCTTGCCTCCGGATGCTTAGGGTGTTTTAAGTTTTGTCTTAACGAGCATGCATCCGAGCAGGTTTGGACGCCATTTTGCGCTCCATTGTGCTGGTTACCACGCACGTACTCCGAGTCCCTAGTTCAGCCTTACAAGCCAGATAAGTTGATTAAACTTTTCCCCCACTCATTATTATTACATTTACTTTAATTAAATACATAGCTCCTTCAAATACATTGCGTATCAGTTCTTTTGATTTGTGTTTTGTTATCAGTACTTACACGTTAGGTAAAGTACTGGTTAAGCAGGTACTAGAGCACATCAAGTTAAGTAGGGTTGATCAAACGTTACGGAATTGTAACACGTATCACTTTTTGCTTTGTCTAGTACCTTTGTTTTCTTGCGTTGATTTGTCTGGCCTATTTTTTTTTTGGCACGGTCTAGCGTTTTTTTTATTGCACTCCTCATTGGTTATTTTTGCATTGTAATTTTTTTTATTATCATCATCGTGCCTCGTTAATTCCCTGATCAATGGCGGATAACGACTCGACTGCGCAGATGGCCGTAACCCTCCAGCTTCCCACCTTCTGGGCCCACAGACCATCTGCATGGTTCTCCCATGTGGAAGCTCAGTTTGCCTTGAGACACATTCAATCACAAGAAACTAAGTCCAACTTAGTCATCGTCAGCTTACCGGAAAATGTGATCGAAGACGTCTCAGATGTGCTAGATGACCCAGCACCGAATCTTTACGATCGCCTCAAAACCGCCCTCATCAAACGTGTTGCACTTACTGACCAGCAGAAAGTGCAAGAACTTTTCAGGGATGTGCATCTGGGTGATCGCAAGCCGACGCAACTGCTTCGTCAGATGAAGCAGCTGATTGCTGACTTCAACATTGATGAAGCATTTCTCAAGCAACTGTGGTTACAGAGGTTACCACAGTCGGTTCAAGGGATCCTCGCACCCTTCCATAAGTGTCCCTTAATAGAGCTGGCGGAAGCGGCTGACAGAGCTGTGGATGCTACGAAACCCAACACTAGTATCTCAGCTGCACTGTCTACTGCCACGGATTCGTCCAAAAACCCACATCCTCCCTCGGCTGGTGAGCCAACAAGTTTCGATGTTATAGCTCACATCTCGAAATTGTATGAGTTGTGCAGCATCAGGAACGAAATGCGGTCTGGTAGTTCTTCCAACGGTCGCACGTCTCGCTCGCGCAACAGGTCTGCCTCCCGTACCGGTAGCAGACGTTCCAAATCGCGACAATCCCAACCCAGGTTGTGCTGGTACCATAAACGTTATGGTGCCAATGCCAAAAGGTGCACTCGACCTTGCACCTTCGAGGCTAACCAGGCGGGAAACGTGTGAGCCAGCACGTGACGGCGACTAACGTCGCTGGCGAGCCACTTCCATGTCGCCTCTTCTTCGTCACTGATCGACATTCTGGGATACGCTTCCTAGTTGACACTGGGGCAGAAGCTAGCGTCATCCCACCTACGAAGGAAGAGCGTCTGCGGCCAATGTCTCTGCAACTTCGTGCCGCCAACGGTTCGCCCATCACAACCTATGGTCGGAGATTCCTCGATCTCAACCTTGGATTGCGTCGTCCCTTTCGTTGGGTTTTCATAGTGGGGATGTGACCACCGGCATTATTGGTATGGATCTCTTGCAGCACTATCAGCTGCTGGTAGATGCTGGCAAGCATAAGTTGATAGATTCTACCACAACACTCTCTGTTTCCGGTATAGTCACAAAGACGCCGCCCCTCAGTCCCGTGTACTGCACGACGGACGCTTCTAGTCCCTACGCGTCTATCATTCAGTCCTTTCCGGATGTCTTTAAGCCAAGTCGTTGTGTCCCTTGTGTGACTTCGAACGTTTCTCATCACATAACGACGACTGGCCCGCCAGTGTTTGCGAAACCACGGCGATTATCCCCGGAGAAACTGCGTGCTGTAAAAGCCGAGTTCGAACACATGCTTGAAATGGGAATAATCAGACCATCCAACAGTCCATGGTCTTCACCCTTGCATGTGGTACCCAAGAACAATGGCATGGACTGGAGGCCTTGTGGTGACTACCGAAGGCTCAACGCTAAAACGATTCCAGATCGTTACCCAGTCCCTCACATTCACGACTTGACTGCATCTTTAAAAGGCTCGGTTATCTTCAGTAAGCTTGACTTGACGCGTGCATATCATCAGATCCCGGTTCATCCTGATGATGTTCCCAAGACAGCCGTCATTACACCGTTTGGTCTTTTTGAGTTCCTCCGTATGCCTTTTGGTCTTCGCAATGCAGCACAAACCTTCCAACGTTTTATTCACGATGTTTTACGTGGACTCGACTTCGCCTATGCCTACCTAGACGATATACTAATCGCTAGTCCTGACGAAGACACTCATTTTAACCACTTGAAACAGGTTTTCGCCAGACTGTCAGAGCATTCGATGACAGTCAACCTGGCCAAATGCCAGATTGGCGTTCGTTCACTAAAATTTTTGGGACACGTTATCGACGAGCAAGGCATTCGCCCACTACCTGAAAAGGTACAGGCGATCCAAGACTTCCCAGTCCCAGCGTCACTTAAAGCTCTGCGTGTGTTTCTGGGTATGGTGAGCTATTATCGTCGCTTCGTTCCCCAATGTGCGCACATTTTGACTGCACTGACCGACCTGCTGAAAAGTAAATGTAAAACTTTCAGCTTGACTCCTGAGGCACTAGAAGCATTTCGCAAGATCAAAACCGCAATAGCAGACGCCACGATGCTGGTGCATCAAGACGTAAACCTACCTCTTAGCATTGCGGTTGACGCCTCTAACACGGCCATTGGAGCTGTGTTGCAACAACTTTCGGATCACACTTGGATCCCAGTTGCATTCTTCTCCCGGAAGTTATCCACCTGCGAAATGCGGTACAGCACTTTGGCAGGGAACTGCTCGCCATATATGCCTCAGTGAAACATTTTCGTCATTTTGTGGAAGGTCGTGATTTCATCATCTTTACCGACCATAAACCTCTGACGTATGCCTTACACACACCACTGACAGATATTCACCGCGTGAATTACGTCACCTAGACTATATTTCGCAATTCACGTCGGACATCCGTCATATTTCTGGTGTGAATAACCCTGTCGCAGACGCACTGTCTCGCGTTTGCACCACTACTTTGCCTCGAGCAGTCGACTTACGGAAGATTGCCGAACTTCAGGATTCAGACGAGGAGATTGAAAAACTTCAACACTCACCTCTCTGAAGATACAGCGTTTACCGCTCCTGAACAGTGAAGTGTCAATATTGTGCGACACCTCCACAGGCACACCCAGACCGGTTGTTCCTTTACCCTTGCGTAAGCATGTTTTTGATGCTTTGCACAATCTTTCACATCCTGGCATCCGTGCCACTGACAACTCATATCTGCTAGGTTTGTTTGGCCTGGTATTAACCGTGATGTTCGAAACTGGACACGGTCATGTATTCAGTGCCAACGTTCCAAGGTGAATCGTCACAACATCCCACCACTTGGAACTTTCGCCAAACCGGACTCACGATTCGCTCATGTCCACTTAGACATTGTCGGCCCACTTCCACCCTCCGATGGATATAGTTACCTACTGACATGTGTCGATAGGTTTACTCGCTGGCCGTTAGCCATCCCATTGTCTAACATTACTGCCGAAACAGTAAGTCGGGTCTTCGTCGAAGGATGGGTTTCACAGTTTGGATGCCCTTCCACCGTGACAACCGACAGAGGCCAACAGTTCGAATCCGCTACCTTCCAGAAGCTGATGAATCTGTTGGGATGCAAACGCATCCGCACTACCGCATATCATCCAGCTTCCAATGGTTTGGTGGAGCGATTCCACCGACACCTTAAGAGCGCACTAATGGCAGTCGACAATATGAAATGGACTGAGTCTCTGCCGTTGGTTCTTCTCAGCATCGTTCTACACTCAAGACGGATATACAGTGTACACCTGCTGAGTTAGTTTACGGTAGTAACTTACGTTTGCCGGGTGAGATGGTCGCTTCAGATTGTAGTGACCCAACTCCTACCGATATCCATGGCTATGCTCAAACTCTTAAGTTACACATGCGTCGCCTCCAACCCTCATCCACACGGATACAGTGTAGACGGGTGCAGTTGGATAAAAGACTCCAAGATTGCACTCACGTCTTTGTGCGTTGTGACGGTGTACGACCTTACAGCCACCATACGACGGACCTTTCAAGGTTCTCAGTAGAAAGAAAAGTTTTTCGTCATTGACAGATCTGGACGGCAGGATTCTATAAGTGTCGATCGTTTGAAGGCAGCTTATATAGAGGACGACCCACCTTCCTCTACACCGACACAACTAGAAAAACCCTTGCCGCCAGACTCCCAAACAGACTCGTTAGTCGCGCGTATCCCGAACCTTCTAAAAGAGCCACGTCTAGTAGCACTGATCCAGTACCCTCTACACGTGCTGGGAGGCGTGTACATTGGCCCAAACGATACGCCGATTTCGTTAATTAGCCCCAGCGCAACTTCACACTTGGTAAATTCGGAGTTTCAACTATTTTGTCGTGGCATGCACTATCAATGCGTTTTCATATCTAAAGTTTTCACAAGTTTTGTTCACTACTTTTTAAAAAAAAAAAAAAAAACCAAAATACAATTTAAATTTCAAAAACTTTTTTTTGGTTGGTATATTATTTTTTTTCTGTACTCCCCAACTTCGAATTGTTTGGTTTTTCTTCTCTTAGCACTCTAATGTCCTATTTCTTTCTTCTTGCAGAACCTAGAAAATGCGTTGAAAATTGGATACAATTGGCCGCTGACGATGCTACTTGGATCGTTCTTCGGTTCTCTTTGTACCAATTTCCCCTGTACACTCCCCGGTAGATTAAGAAGCAATAGGGAAAAGTAGACGGAGGCTTTGGGTCACCTTCCACCACTGCGAGAAGGGTTGCGTCTAGACGCAAAGTCTCTTACCTCGTAGGTGTGCATAGTTGCACTAGCTTCGGAGACCCACACGTCACCTACTCCATCACCAATATGGAAAGGTGTTGCGTGTCCGCCTCGCAGTCGCCTCCTAGGATCGAAGGTTGCCGGTATCCCAACAACCTTCTAGGAGGGGGATAACCTGTAGTGCACCTTCCTGGCACCAAAATATAACTAGGGCTAAAATAAATAGTTTAAATTAAATTAACTAAATAAATCTCTAGCTTGCCTCCGGATGCTTAGGGTGTTTTAAGTTTTGTTTAACGAGCATGCATCCGAGCAGGCTTGGACGCCATTTTGCGCTCCATTGTGCTGTTACCACGCACGTACTCCGAGTCCCTAGTTCAGCCTTACAAGCCAGATAAGTTGATTAAACTTTTCCCCATTCATTATTATTACATTTACTTTAATTAAATACATAGCTCCTTCAAATACATTGCGTATCAGTTCTTTTGATTTGTGTTTTGTTATCAGTACTTACACGTTAGGTAAAGTACTGGTTAAGCAGGTACTAGAGCACATCAAGTTAAGTACGGTTGATCAAACGTTACGGAATTGTAACACGCACCCCTACAACCTTATGAGCTTAATTTGAAGTATAGTTTTGAATCCGTAGGTTTTCCGTGGACGCTAGTATCTTGACGTCTATCTTCTTTTTATGCTTCAACCCAGCATAGTAAGTTCTCCCTCATTCCTCTTTAATTCATAAATAAACTAGATTGCGTCTGCAAATGAATTTGTGTTAGAAATTTATCGATGTGATCTAACTTCAGCACCGTAAATGTGTCATCTGTGTACTGCCAATATATTTTAGGACCAACGGTAAATTTCCTCACGTGGTTTCTGGACTATGGGAGTGATCGAAACATGTGAGGAAAATGGAGATGGTCTATTAAGAACTGTGTTGTAAGAAGAGATGAACGAAGGTTTTATCTTCTTGAGGGAGTGGGAACAAAAAATATTATAGACACATGTATGTCGGCAGAGCCACGCTTGAATGCATTAAGAGGTGTCTTTGCACGTCTGGAAGGATTTTGGAGACCGATTTAACGGAACAAGTGATTTGAAAATCCTTTCTGAGCTCTAATATGTGTCAAGCGTAGGCATTGTAGCAGAATGTAATTTCATATTAGATTTCCGTATTTGATATATAGCACACAGTGATGACGTTTCGAGTATAAATTATCATTCCTCATAATCATATCAGTGTAATCACACTACTTTCGACATCTGATTTTTATAGTCCTATCACCCACGTCATATTTTTTGTTTTTATTGGTTGTGAAGGTTTCCTTTGGTATAGGTGTTATATCGTTTCTGTCACACGTGTTGGGTGTTGATTTGATGAAAAAAGTTTCATTATTGAGTCTCTGTCTCTCTCCACCTAATCATATTAGACTTGAGTGTATTGGTTTTATCCTGCCCATCTAATTGTGTGGTTGTGTTGATGCATACATTGCAATAGGCGAGTTTTTTTCTATATTATTGATCTTATTTGGGTTTGTTATACCATATTTAGGTAAATTCCTATGTTTCGCTAATCTAATTTATCCCAACCGGCTAGTTTGACCTGTGTACTTGACCTCGCAGTCATTAAATGAAATTTGATAGATTAGATTATTCTGCTTAATTGATTCTGTCGGATTCTTGAGCTCACTATATTAAACTAACACTATATCAGTCAATATTCATCGAATCAACACCCAGCACATGTAACTGAAATGATGCAACACTCATCCTAATTATATGGAAAATTTTACTACCAATAAAAACAGAGAATACGAGTTGGGTGACAGGACTATAAAAATCATATGTCGAAAGTAGTGTGATAACATTGATACGATTATGAGCGATAATTTATGGTTGGAACATCATCAAGTAAATAACACAGTATCACTGTGTGTTATAAACCGACCTAATATGGAATCCCCTTCTAAGCACTGTGCTAACAGTATGGATTTTTATTTGAATATTTTTACCCTCTTTGTAGATATTATCTCTTAATCCTAATTGATGTAATATTCTTTTGTCATTTGCTCGTCTTCTTTGACTTAACAGTCATTATTTGTCTTTGTTTTGATTGAGAGTAATTATTAATACTTCACGTTGCTATTGTGTGGTGCTGGACTGTTGAAAACATTGCATTGTTTTACTGTTTCCAACACTTTTGTTTTGGTTCAGCTTAAAGTTGCGCTGTGAATTGATTGCTTGTCTTTTGACTGTCTACAGGAAACGTTTATTGATTGATTTGATCCATGTAGACAGTTTTTATCCTATTTTGTTGGGAACATTCTTGTTGATTCTCAGGTATTTAACAGTTGTGTTTGCTGAATCATTTTCTACCATACAGTACTTATTCTGTCACAGAGAAATCTTTGGACTGTATAGTTGCCAAGCGGCATTCTCGAAGTACTTTTATAATTTTGATATAACTTATTGTTGCTTAATAGTACTACAAATGTACCACAGATTTATCTGCCTTTCGTTTTTGTACAAGATTCTTCAGTAGAACGCAACCATGACCCTACCAGGGATTGCTGCGAGATCTGAAGGTCCTAAGTCTGATCCCTGGGGTGGCGTGGGTGCGTACCGTTGTGGAGTCCCATACTAGAGCGCAAAAGCTGTCCACTGCTTCCAGATTTTCAATGGTTCTTTAACTGATATCACCACGCGATGAATACCACTCTAAAAATTGTATAGTTCAATAGAACTATAATCAACTGTTGAAAACTTCTTACTTTACTTTTTTTCCTTTAGGTGACAGATAAAAATGAGTCCATTAAATTGAAAAATCTTAAAAAAAGTTTCCAAAATTCAACAAGGGATTTGAAATTGTTGTTAAGTCAGATGGAAACTGATGCACTAGAAGATGAATTATCATGTGTTGGTCAACTTGCACAAACAACAGCTAACCAGTTGAAACTTAGTCACTTACGGTAATTTTTTTGCTAATAAATAAGAGTTTATACTGTCTTTATTCGAATCAATCTCTTTGTCTGATATATTTTGTTGTCAAAACCTGAAGAACTCTTACATATCACAGAAATGCACAAAGATACAATAGAAATAACGATTACCGTAAAAAATTCGTATACTTTGGTCAAAGTATTCAAAAAGGTAAAAAGACTTGTAATGATACTCAAAATTTCCCTTTGCTACACACGGCTGAATTGCTTGATCTCTGTTAGCTGATGGGCTCCTATGTGGATGCCTCGACACTACCGGATACTCATGATGTTATATTGATCTTGGTGACTAGCAGAGGTCGAGTAATTCAGCCCTGTATAGCAACGGGAAATTACAAGTATCATTACAACAAGTGACACCCATTGCATAAGAGGTGGCTCTCTTACCTCCGTGGGGAACGCATTCGGCGTTTGAAGCGAAAAGTGCCGGGTTCGAGCCCCAGTGGGAACAACACTACTCACTGGGGTACAGGTGCATCCAGGTGACGAGTCCCAAAAGGGATGAAACGCGCGTCCTAGATTCCTCTGCTAGTCACGAAGATCCATAAAACAGGGTAAAAAGACTATTATACTAGAATCAAATAGATTGGAATCGTAGACACAACACAACATAACATCATGGAAGTGATCATTATGCTGACTATGGAGGTAAATAGGATGAGAACAACTAAAACGAAACAAAATAATAGAAAATAGTGAGCTTCATGTGGCGTGACTAACATATAACTGATCATTTCTCCCTTCAAATAAATATTTAAGAGATTATTACAATAAATGAAGAAATTAATGAAATATACACTTAAAATTACTCATTCTATACACTATTTGAACCAAATAATGACGACTAATGTCACTCACGCCACCTAAAGCTTGAATGGTAAAGTGTTGGATAACGTGAGTCAACGTAATGCAGCTATCGTATGCACAACCATCAATATGAGTTAATATCACTTAAAAAAGATAGAATATTAGAAGGGTTGCCTTATCCGTAAACTTTGGGGTAATTAAAACGAATGCGTATGGATAATACTGAACGACAGTTTCCCTGCGTCTTTTAGTAGCTGAAATTAGATAATGTAGACAAATGGGTTCCAGTTAAGTATCTAACTAGCAACACGTGCGCTTACAGAATTTGACAGTCATAAACTGCATTGAATCACCTCATTGTCATCAAAATGTCAAAAGTTCTCTTTTCATATAGGGAAAGCTTCATTGAAAGTTTACAAATGTTGTTTAAGTGTAAGAGTAATCGCTTAGATCTGAATTTTAATGACAACCAATTGATTTCCTGCATCTAAGATAGATCACAAATCAATCTTCGACTCTCTTCATTTAAAATTCGATAATGTATATGGTATTAGCATGACTAGATAAGATATGTTCTAACCGACAGTGCAAACTAAGAACGTACTAATTATCTCCAAGTAATGATAAACCTTTATCAATTCCGGTATCATGCAAATAAAAATACATTTTTAAGTTTATTCATTTCTATGACATTCCACTTTTAAATGAAGAAGACCGTACCAGACTTTTGTGTGAAACGTTGAGATTATTTCATTTCAAACGTGCTATGACTTACACAAATACAAACTATATCTAATGTCGATCTTTTACTCAGCGCCCAATATTTCCCATCTTATTCCGTCAAATCTCGATCACAATTCATACAAATCCCATTTTAGTTTGTTTATTGGATGTATCACACCGTGGAACAATATTATTATTGCAAATAGTAATAATGTTAGCAGTAATATAGGCAATACTTTGAAGAGAATTCAAAACCTCTAGAGTATTACTATACAAGGAAGGCACCTCAGAGATATTACGTAGGATTCTCGATAAGGTTGGGATTAGAAATAAGCTTTGTAGGTTAAAAGATCCTATTGATCTAATTAGGCAGAATAACTTGGTTTACCGAATCCCTTGCAACGATTGCAAGGTGGGTATACACGTCAAAGTAGTTGATCAGGGTCAATTAGGCTATCCGAGCAAAAAACCCAGCTAGGTTAAAATTGGTTAATTCTAGTAAGGTAAGGAATTTAGAAAAAAGCTCGGCCATAGCTATGCATGAAATTACACACCCGCACAAAATAGGATGGGACAGGGTGAAAATCCTTGAAACTAACATTGAGGAGGTGGAAGTGGAAGGCGAGATTGATAATTGAATCTTTGTTAATCGAATCAACACCTATTACATGCAGCTACAGGAATGACTCAACACCTGTTACGTATACACCCAAAATCCTACTAATCCAATAAATAGTACTGCTCCACTGTGTGATAATACATTTAATAAATCAACTAGAATGGAATTAAATCCCACCACAGTGCCCAAGTTTTACTCTTACATTTTCATGAAACTCTGATACGACATAAGCATAATGTATCAAAAATCACCTACCAAGTTTATCGAACTGAATAAAGTCTCACTAGTTTTTTTTTGTCTTATTCCATGATCATTACTCTAAAAAATTATTTAGAAATGTATTTTTATTGTTACGGTGATATGAGCAGAAGACTTTCTTCACCTCTGCTTTATTCTCTTCAACCGTTTTTATGATTAGTCAGTTGGTTTATTATTAAGGTAATTGAAGCACAACAGTGAGTGAACTGTGCAATACAATGTATGAGTTCAGTAGACTATACCAAATGATGGATAATTTCAATACGTAATTGCTGTTTAAAATACAAAGCTATGACACACATTCATTTACAAGAAAGGAAACCTTGTACATATTTATCAAGTAGGCAGTGAGGCATACGTATTAATACGAGGGCTAACAATACTACCTGCCTGTCAAAACCTCAGTAAGTGGGGTAGTGTTTGAACCCGTGACCCACTTAGTGGAAAATAAACTGCCTAATCCAATGAACCACAGGTTTATACTATCCGATTTTTCTAAAAACTCAAGAAAGTAACAAGATGAAACCATAGAAAATTTTAAGTGAACTTTGAAATCCATATTTATTGGTCTACAGTTAAATGTAAGAAATTCTCTGAAAAGAAATCTGCACTGTGTACAACAATTATTCATTAAATTATCTTAGAAGTATGTCCTACACCGATGACGCTTTGAAAAGAAATCAAAATGAAATTAAAGCCTGACTTCCAACTTGAGTCAAGACTTAGAGAAAAGTGTTTTTTAACGCTATTTAAATCATTACTATTTATTGACATACTTGTTATTCTCCGTTGTTTTGTTGGATCGAATTGTCGGACCTCTGTTAGCATATGGGCTCCTATACGGATACCTCGATATTGCCTGAATGTTAATGATGATAATTTGGTTGGTTGTGACTAGCAGAAGAATCCAGTAATAACTGCTACCCGTTGTACAAGAACTGGTAATTGTTCCTCCGTACCATAGTGGATAACGCCTTGGCGTTTGAAGCGATGGGTACAAGGTTAGAGTCTCAGTGGGAACAACATCACTGGGGTGCAGGTACATCCAGCTGACGCGGGTCCTAGGTTCTTCTGTTAACCACAACCAACCAAATTACTATGTAAGTCAATTAGAAATTACTCAGAAACCAATAAGTGGCTTTATAATACTCAAATATATTCTATTCACCAGTGGATGTAATGATCTTATTTCGCACAAAACTTTTATGCAATTTATTCTTTTCAGGCTGGAAGAAAATCTGGATTCAATAAGAACTGATCTTATTCGTCTTAAAGCTGAATGTCATTAAATCACATTCCGCATAAACCTGATTATAAAGAATTTAATATAGTTATGTTACTTTCTTTACTTATCATATATTTACACTGAATGTAAGCCAAGTGGTTCTTGTATACAAACAGTAATGTTCAATATAAATATGATGAGTACAATTATGGGTATGAAAATCTTTACTAAAGTAAATAGATACTTTAATTAGGATGTGCAATGTAAGAAATCGCAGAACATCAAACAATCTTCACTAATATCCTGAGCTAAAAAACCTTCCACTTTGATTTTTATGAACATTACAGCAAACTTAATCCCAGTAAGATTCACCTTTATTCAAAGAAACGATCCATTAATAAGTATCATCTGACATGATACCCGATGTAGAAAACGATCAGAAATTAATTTTTCCGGTTGGAATACATGTTAATTTTATTACTAGTGCTCCTGTTACTTGGTGATATTTACATCTTAACGTGTATTAGGGATATCATACTTTGTAGATAAAATGGAGTTTCTTACTCTTCAGTGATAAATTAATCCACTTGTATAAAGTCAAATTGCGACGAAACTACTTAAAATGCGTTAACTACGTTTCGCTTTGGTGCAAGTCGTCAGATTGGCTAAAAGTTAGTTTAAGCACCTATAAATTGATGAGCGAGTTAATTACTAGAAGTCTTTATTTACTTTAGTCCTTATCAATAACATCGCATTTATTGTTCACGATTCCTATTGAATTGAAACTCACAAAAATCAGTATCAACATTTGCAGTGAATTTTATCTCGCTCAATGCACTGACAATAATTTAGCTAAACGAATAGCGGAATACATTCAACACTGTGAAACTATAGTAATCTTATCATAATGAACATAAGTGAAGCGGAAATTTATAATTGTGTTACAGAAGTCACCCATCAGTAACTTAAATATAATTTAAACATATATACCTTTTACTTTTCAAGCACAGTTTAGGAAATGATGATATGTAATAAACCCAACCATAGTAACATCTATATCTTAATGAAGCGCTGAGGAAGTTGCCCAGCCAGAGGATGAAACGCCCAATAACAAACTTCAGAGCTCGGAGAACACCACATAACTTTTCTGAGTAAATACTTGCCTGGATGAAAAATCGTATGTATATAAGGAATGTCAGTAGGACATTTCGAATAAAGTTCGATGTGGTATGCATAAACAGCAAACGGCTGGTTGAACTATGACGAAAGAACTATGTCTGACGGAAGAAATATTGCCGTCTGAAATTCCTTCAGAGTTTACGCAGTGAGTTTAGACATTATGATCAACTTAGTAACATGAAAATGAAATAACATTCGAAATAAAACAAAAACCAACCAGAATCGTCTATGTGCCTACGTACATAACTTCAAAATGTAGCAACACAGTCAGTATACCTGTACAAAACTCTTGGAACGACGCAAATTTTTATAGTGGTTTTCAACAGAGCCTACTTCAGATAACATGGCGCAACAAGCAGACGGTGGTTAGGCTCATATAGTGTATGTCCCAGCCATAGAAGCCGGTGGTTTGCTGTACCTTACCTAACGAAAATTCTTGAATTGAGCTGACGTGATACCACAACAAGTGGCCTACCTTATCAAAGCAATGGCAGCCGAACATTTGAAGTCTTCTCGTGTTACCCGCCTGTGATGACTTTCACAACTACGCTCGACGCAACAGGTATCTTTCCGGCGCCAGAGATAGAGCAAATTGGTGAAAGACAGTCGGGGCTTTTAACACACGCAGTCACTGACCTATCACAGCTGATTCGATTTCACAAATAAATTAAGTGGCCAATGCACTCCCGTACTTCACCCCCCAGTGTTAGCGTGCTAACGTAGATCAGACGTGGAGCAACAAATGATAATATTAGGTAAGACATTAGAGAACGTGAGGATTCTCCGCAACCATCTGGGTTTTAGGTTACATTTGACTGACGAGTTGACACTCACAACAGACAACCAGGTCTGTTCCTGGTAGTTAAATCTGAAAATACTTAATTTCATGTATGGGATTATACGATATACTCCTGAGATGTGTTTACGAGGCTCTTCCCTCTCGGAAAAGCCATATCATATGCAGCATAAGGGCTGTGGTATGTACATATGAACAAGTAAATTGCCGTATGTTACCATCCCAAAAAGCAACGCTGATAATGTTAAGTTTCGATTTGAAAGTCTATCAACAGTATACCATGCACTTTAAATAAAACTAAGGTGGCTACCAATAATATTAGAAATGACGAGTCACTTTTGGCAACAGCTGATGATCTGGTCACTTTGACCAACTGACTTATTTTAGGCTGACAATTTCGTAGCATTTAGACCGTCCTAATAACCTAACAATCAGTCTAAAGAATCAATGTGGAAAAAAGTGCTACTTTCTTTTCAAACTCGGTAAAAGTAGTTATAAAACTGAGTAGATAGAACCCTACTCTCCATACTTCGCCCAGCACTTACAGTTGGAAAGTATAGCATTAGCTACCATATGATGACTAGAGTATATAAACAGGAACTTCTCTAGAAAATAATTCGCTGACAATCAGATCCACAGAACTGAATAGCGTACAGATTGTATCCAGGTTGAAATTCCTTCTTCCCAGCGCAAGGGCTGGACTGTATACTGTTTCTCGGGCACACTAACTCTCTTCAAAGCTTCTACCTGGTAGATGCATGAGACTCCTAAAGTAGAAGTCCACAGAAGGGCATCTTGTTATATGTAATTAAGTAAACAAGTGCCCTCAACACCCACTACTCAGTCCCTAAATTTTTGATTACAGCAATAACTTAGTAGGTTTAAAAAGTTAATACACAAATTATGTGACGGATTTCAGTAGGACTTGGCTGGTAGCAAGGAGTCATACTCATGTCATGCAACCTTCACCTTAGTTGAACTAAACATGTTAACTGGTACACTTTCCAGTGGTTACAACAGCTCGACAGGGTAAAATATGAACGCAATCTACGTACGATCAGTATTTTTTCGAACACAAGAAACCTCATGCACTTCTTGACGAGTGCGGCTTTTTCAAACAACACTATGTTGTGTCGATAGTCACACCTCACAAAAGTCACTAAGGAGTTTCAACAAAAAACAAGCATACGAGTAAGGTAAGAACATAATTGAGCTTCGAGGAAAGTAAGAAGTGACGTCATCTGCTACCCATTCTTAGTCAATGTCTATAGAGACTTAACTTTGAGGAAACTTTAGTTAGAACCTAAGCAACTCAAACAGCCTATGATTGCTGCACAGTTCTGGAGAAGCTATCCACTGGCTATTATCCTGCATGATACCTCTCCACGTAACGTGGGGAACTGCAGTAGATGGATGCTCAAAGTGCGTGATCACGTCCAACCCAACTTACATGAAACAAACCGCCAGCGTAACTCCCTTACTTTAAACTGGAGAACAGCAACAACCGAACCTAGTCTCTTAATAACACATTTGTGCTAGCATATTGTCGAATACAAATATGTTTTCGAGACGGTTGAACTTAATTTAAAGGTTGCAGACAGAAGTGCTTAAACTCTAAACCAGACTTTGTCCTGCCTACTTACGACTGGTATATACATGGAATCATGGCCTTCAGAACAAAATTGATGCTAACAGTACTGGTTTGCATTACATCACTTAAGCATAGAAGCCTCCAGACGTTTCCGTTCGCCCATCCCAGCATCCGACCATTTTGTTGAATATGTCAACCAAAAGTAATGTGATGCAACATTTGGATGATTCTCTCCAGCTGTTTGTCAAGGATGAGGTAATTGGAGCAAATGACTACTTTCCTGCCAGTTGCCTAGGAACCCTACAAAAAACAGAACCGACAGGTGTTTTAACTATTGAGCTGACAATTAGAGGAATACTACGAAAATATGCTACCCGAAGGCATTAACTTGACTATTAGCGACCGATGAATTATTAACCTTCAAAAGTCTACTGATTACAGGCACAATTTTCGGTTCATCTACTTTGACCTGGAAAACCGAGTTTTACAATTAACCCTTATACATTGCGGTTCAGAACTTAATAGATATACCTAACCTAATTTAATGGCATTATTGTAAGTTCCTGAGTATGACAGCACGCAGGCTGATTGGGATCACGACGAATTGATATAGACTAAGGCCTTCAAGAATACAGGATGATCGACTGTCAATCAGCGGTCATTTTTAACTAGGCTTATGTTATCAAAGTTGGTTTTCTCAAAACTTGAATTTGAAGACACTGGATTAAAACCATGGGAAAACGCAAACATAAATACACTGAATACAACTTCATAAAGAAAAACGTCTGTCCAACGAAATTTATTTTAACAAAATCACTTGGCCTTCTTTGCCTTCAGTTTCTTGGCATAAAACTCCAGTTCCTTTCCTTCGAGAATATATCCATCTGCTCGACCAACCTGACCAGGTCTTGAGGAAATACAAGCTAAACCCAAATGATAACTTAATTTAACATAAAATACCTAGGATTCGACCAGTAACGAATTCTTCTTTTAGTGGTTCTTCTACATTAGCTTGAGGTAATGCTTGGCGAGTTTCGTATTTTTTCAAAGCTGATTTGCTTCTTTTTTTTAACAAAATGTCATCCTCTGGGTTTTCTTGAGTGACAGTATGGCCCTTTTTGCTAACTAGTTTTCTCCGACCGAGTTCCTTCAAATAATGAGCTTCAAACCACTGTCTGAATGGTGCCCCATCAATCTGAACGATCGCGTTTTTAACAAGGGTCTTTGTTCGGACGAGTTCGTTGTTAGAAGCATTGTAAACAACATCGATAATTTTGGTTTTTCGCGAGATAGCCTGTGAAGGCCAACTAAAATTCCCTTGGTCTAAACGCATTGCTCGAAACTTGAAGTTTCCACCCCTGACACGTACAGTGTGTACACGTTTAGGCCCCAGTTTTGTCATGGCAGCCGGACGACCTAACTCGAACTTCCTCTTCTTGCGGTTCCGCTCCCTACGGGCACCAGTCTTGGCCCTTTTGTGAATACGATCTCGAGCAATACCTATAATTATAAAAAAAAGACAAATGTTGAAACTTATTACTTAGGAAAGTACAGAAGACTTATCAGCACCTGACGGATTTGGTTAGGTGGTGCATATCAAGTTACTTAATACAGGTTAACTCTGATCATCATCACTCATTGGTGCCGACTGAAGAATTGAGGTTATGTGCTTAACACACCAGCAAAGTGTAAAATGTCGAACGGAATTCGTAGATAGTTTTTGACTGAAGTATGAGCTTATTTAATTCCAACTGGTAACCAAGCAGACCATCTTTGGAAGCGACAGCAAGCTTAGTTACAATGTGGATTTAGTGTAGTTACATCTGAACACTTCGGCTTGCACTCGATATAGAAACGCTCAAGTCATTATGCTAAGGGAAGAACACTGCGTAAATGCCATAATGGTCTGATAGAATAATGACCGCTGCAATTCTCAGAAAAGAATGTGCAAACTTTCAAGACAGTAGTGCCCAACCCTGTGACTACTTATAGTTACACCATTACACGACTGGTTATAGGGCCTATCTACCTGAATAAATGGACACCTGATTGTAGAAATATAAGTACACTGTTCATCACAGTTCCAATTTTTGACACCAGATAGTTATTACCGACGACCACATTATGGGAAACAAAAGCCATAAGGAGATAGTCGTTCTGCCGATGTCCAGTGACTAAACTCACTTGGAATTGCTCAGCATTAACAAAATCTCCCGTTGCGATGCAACAGAACGTCTTACTAGTAGAATTCGAGTTAGGCAATGGACTGGATGTACCATATGATTGCAGAGTTATGCTAAGATGAAAGATGTTACGAGACACAGAATACGCTCAAACGTTAGTACAAGGATTGATCTGCACTCCCCAGAGGTTGGCGTGTTTTTAATTTCTTTTACTCTATGGTTGCTCTTTAACCACATGTCAATCCCTTTGCCTTTTCCAACCAATAAATGTCCAACTGTCTGCAGAATATATACGACGCACAATAAAACAACCGGTGCTACAGAAGACCGAGCAAAGAAACCGAACGACTAAACATTTTTCTACAAGGTATATGAATGTTCTTAGTACTACATTAGTGATATTTACTCGATTTAGCCACCGTCCCATCAATGAGTGGATTGTTAACAAAATGAATTCCAGAACATGCATTTAACAAACTGCAAATATCTCCACTACACATATATGGAACACTTACAAAGGCGAGTGCCGTTAACACGATGACGAACATAACTTTAAGTACAGTTCGTTAATACGTAAAAAATACTTCAATGTGTAGTTTTGGGGCACATCATTTTTAATGTAGTCGTCAGCAAACTTCCCTGATAACAGTTATCTTTCATAGTGGTATGTAGTACAAGCAAAGTTTGAGAGCAACTACCTTCCCGTAACTATGGGGACGACGACCACGAATCACTTGCAGTTGTCTTGAATAAAAGGCATGTACTGAAGTGCGTCTGACTACTACACCACAATGGATCGTGGAGGCTTGTTAGACTCAAGCATTCATGACTAGAGGCAGGCATGAATTGGCACAAAGATTTAAGACAGGGGAAACTGTACGTAGCACAAATACACATTACTATGTATAAGCAACAATTAACGAGACCGTCAGGTTGAATTACAAAAATCCACTTAGTAACGACAAACATATGAACCTCTCCAAACATACCCATGCTGCAAGTGACCCGACGTTACCGCCAACTGATTAGTGCTGAGGTCTTGCAAATCAAAACAAGATTCGTACAAATTCAAACTTCAGTTTCTACAGGACGAAGTAAATGCGTATAAACTTTGTCATTCGTTGTCAGGAGCAACTGATATAGGTGCTTCGAAAATAAATTTCATTCATCTGTTGCAATTTGAGGGATTTGAGGAAGGATCGTCCTCTTCATGCGGCTGAACATACCAGAAATATTGGGGAACTAACCACGCATGACAGAATGAGAACCCCTTATGAAGATTCTTTCCTCAAAAAATTACGTTTACCACCAGCCGGTCTGCTTCAGTGTCGACCTAAGAGTGCTGCAAGTCACCGAACAAATATGTTTGTTGCCAATGTGGGAAGTCTGTTCTGCCATTCTGCATCGTCCCTGCAGGCTAAAGTGGGGGCCATTCCACTGGTAGGGTCTGATAAGCTTGACAGAAGTGATACTTAAGCACCGAAAATCTTATGTGACCAGCATTTGGAGATCTTTTCACTATCCATTACCCATTCATGAATTTTCCAACATCTTGAGTAGATAGGGCTCTCGGTCGTCAATTTATGTGTTCAGCTAGTACAGAGTAAACTGCTATTGCTCACAAAGAATACTTCTGGGTAACTGGGTAGAATTTATGTGGCGATTTTGCGGGAAGGCGGACCCATATTTAGAGAAATACTAAATAGGTTATTTAATGATCCCCGAGATCGAGGTGAAGTTCCTAATTCCTGAAAGTTAGGTCATAAAACATTAGTCTAGTGACTATCTTATCCGTTCCTCCCAGAGTGATGGAAAGGCCCCTGCCATCGTCTTGTCACTTGCCTTTCCTAAAGGCGGGACAGATATCACTTATTTGGACCTTCCTGAGGCGTTTTTATTGCGTTCAGTGTGACTGTTCTGTTGACAGACTATAGCTAATCAGGGCCGAGGCATCACCGGATGACTGTTGGTCCTTATAACAGAGGGGCAGCATACTGATTGCCCAGGTATTTTTCTGGTTTGCGGAAACAGCGTTCAATTTTAGTTCCCAGGGATCGGTACCAGGGCGGCCTAACTTTTAATAAACATAAACTGCTTACATCAACAGGTTCCTTCAAAAATCCTTCTTTTTGCTGATTATCTGAAACTGGGGATTAGTCATAAGTCAGGAATCTATATCTCCCCATAGAAGCCGGGCTACCAGCAGCGGGTTTGCGTTTTGACTCTGAAAAATGCCAGGTTTCTCAGCTAAAAGATGAAGCATGTCATGCATGTGGTCTCATTGATATGGAACTGGTAGCGTCAGCAGCGGAGAGTGATTTGGGCGTCTTACATTCTGGAGAAGTAAAATCCCATGCCAAACTTGACAGAAACGCATCTTGTGAAGAGTGGGCGTTAGCAACTCGGACGAATTTCCTGATGACTTTACCACGGGTGCCTCCATAATCTTATCTCTCATCCTACTGAAAGATCGAGTAGGTCTTCACTGCATCCACAGGTGGCTGAATAAATCTTCTCAGACTACGGCTTAGAATACACAGGCGACGACTGCCAGACGACCTACGTCCTTCGGAATTTGGGAGATTACGGAGTTTCAAAATGACCTACTATATTCTGAGTACCGGCACACCCATTTCTTGACTTATCTGTCTTTGGTCGCAACACCAGTTTTAGATGACACAAGAAATTGAGCCTTAGACATTGAGGTATAGGCATAAGGCGCAACTTATACTCCCTAAGAGTTGCTGAACCTTGGAGCGCTCACCCCGCAGGAATGGTCCGACCTATTTTGAATAAATGTTTCGAACGCCAACTTGACGCTTAATTATATATTAATATGTATATATATATATTATTATTATGTGTCCTGGAGCCGATTTACGACTAATTTGGTTTTCCTGTTTTAAATTTTATCTTCTTTTCCTTCTTCACATTGTACGCAGGTTAACAACGGAAGGAACTTCTGGTCAACCCTATTTAAACGGGGAAAAAAGTTAAGCGAAAACTTTTCTCCAATCGCCAACCACATGAAACCACTAGAGACAGAAGCAGCTTGAGCTTATCAGTTTTCACGTCTATAACCGGCGGGTCGTCACTTCTTTTGTTCGAGGAACTGCTTACAACAAAAACGCCTAAATAAGAGAAACATCCGGTTGTCGGTTTCTTTCCATTTCAGTTGATTTAATATGCTTATCAAACAATGAGACGGCATTACTTGTTGGATTGCGTTCCTGATACAGTTTGTTGAGGACGTTTGTAATAAGGCTACTTCACAACATCGGGGCACGGTTTATATGTTTCAAATTCTTTTAACTTCGTGATAAAAATGTTCAGTCAGCCATGTTAAAAGTAATTGCCGTTGTTTCGGCTACGAACAGCAAATGGAGTACGAAAGTAATCCAGCAAATGATACTGTTGCAACGCGCGACACATCTAATAACTGGACTTAAATGGGGATGCACTCTACTACAGTGCCGAAGATTCAGCTTTATATCCGGTAATTACCCTCCAAAGTGACGCTGTAAGGATATCCAGAGTGCTTGAAGGGCTTCAATGATGAAACCCCGGTGGGGAGGACATGTCAAGCTCTGGTAACTTTTAGGGAACGGAAGTTGAGTTTCACACTTGATCTTGAAAGTTAGAGTTATAACTTCAGAGTGCTTCTTCCAGGATTGTTACTACGACTAAGCTTAGGCGGCCGATCTGGAATGCTTGAAATGTCTTACTCAACTAGTAAATAAATGGGAGTTTTATTATCAAATTAACATGAGAGGAGCCAGTTTACAGGCACCATCAAACTGACAGTGGTCCATTATGGGTTTATTGTGATATCAAAGGTGATTGCAGGTTATAAAAAGAACAGAAAAATATCGCTTCGTAGTACGTACAGATTATCTATGAGTTTCGATTGTCCCTACTCACTATTCTTTTTTCATGATAAAGTGGAACCAAAATCTCACAATATTTGAAGTTTGCGTCTCGTGTGACCTAGGTGGTTAACCTGGCTGTATAATTCCGCTGTGCGTCAGATAAAGGTTTATTTTAACATCAATTCATACGTTTATACCATCGTTGGCTAACGAAAACTTGCGTCACCGATTCCAGGCAACAGTAAGTGTTAGCATAACCATATAATTCGCTGGGGTATATAAGTCCTCGCATTTCCCGCTCTCGGTGTGACTTTACTCAGCAATACAGATGTAATCCATCAGAGTTAGTTGTTACTGCACAAAGAAATAAGCATTTGAAGGGCTATTATCCAATGGTTACGGAGTTTTGCATGTTGAATACACATTGAAGCATACAGCACTATTAAGGAGGTTCGTTGACTGTTAATTGTCTTCCGTGAAACGTAGTCAAACGAGATGAAGTATCGCAGACGTTTGTTTGCGAACACGCCTCACTTTGAGTCACCAAGTGAGTTTATTTTGCTGCCTTTACGACCGTCCAGAAGCCTTAGATCATCCCACATTCTCAGAATCGCCACTCAGCCGTCTTCATTTCGATGGACATGGATCGAGTGTCGTTATGCGTTTTCTCTAGAGATTTGAATCCAAGTTTGAGAACCGGTCTAGTTCCACATGAGTGGATGCTTTCCAGAAGGCTCCTTTCTTCTCAATGTATGGCCCGAAATCTTGGTGGGATCAAATGCGGCGGTTTGAAGTTTTGGTGGAAGCATCTGCAACACAACCGTCGACATATTCCTAGCGCTGCTACAAGTGCTGGGTCAGTACGAAATACCTGTTCACCAAAGTTACAACACGGAGTCTGAAGTTTCACACACTAATCAGCAGAGAGTGGCCGCTTGTAGTCCCTTAAGGATCAGTGGGGAGCTGAACTTCTAGGAATGCGGGTTACAACCAACAACGATGCTTCTTGCTCAACAACGGTTTGCTATTTATTCAAGGCCCGTAAAACTTTTAAGACTCCGAGAGCTGGGGATTGTCACTGAGTTTTTAAACTATTGCCTGCTATGAGTTGTTTGCCACCAACAGTGAAGGCGATGAAGTAGCTGTGGTCAAGATATACTTTGCGAGTGTAGATGCTATATCTTGGCAAGTAGTAGGGGTAATATGAACTTTTGTCCAGTGGCCCAAAAACTGTCGGAGTGTGTGATCAAATCAAGTCATGCAGAAAGTGAATGTAAACATCAGTGACACCATGAAGAACTATTAAAAAAATGCGTATTCAATCAGATCCTAGAAAAATAACGGCTGCATACTCAGGATCAGTAGGTCAGTGATTCAAGGCCGAAAAATCATGACTTTCCCCGCAGAATTATTTCCGACTGCACGCCAGCAGATACACCGCGATTTAGAACGTTTTTATTGAATTACTTGTCTGCTGATTTATCATTTATTGTCATAACCTACACGTAGTTAAGGTGGTGATCCCTTTTGCGTTGGGACACTTCGGCCTACGGAGACCCGGTCATATGCCAGGTAACAGGAAGATAACCAGGTTCTTACAGTTGGTGAGCCCTGATGTCACTCTTTCTACGATTGTGCAGCGTCTCTTTCCAACTTTTATTTATTGTTCGAGTGAGTTTTAACTATTAATCCCTTTCCGTCGCACACTTCATATTTTCGTACTCTCCGTTCACCTCTTATCATTGTGACACATAATATCCCGTAATTTGGGTAGCTGAAAATTGGGATTCTTCGACGCATATGGCTGCCCCTAATCGGCCTCGGTTACCCGTGTCAGATCTCAATTCTCCCTAAAGCAAATCAATTCACGAAGAATCAAGGCCGACTGAGTTGTTTTCAGTCTTCGGTAGAACGCCGTCAAACCGCTTTCTCAGGTGCCTGCTGACTCTGCTCCGAACATCCATGGCAGCCTTAAGCGTTGTCATATCAGACGCGTCGCTCTGACATGCGGATAGAAAGCGCTAGAACTGTGTCTAGAATGTTAAGCTGGGGGGTCTTAAGTCCGCACAAACTCCCCAACAGTTGAAACAGCTCGTTTCGTGTTCTAAAACCGACGATGACTTTGGTGAGCAGCCTCAGCTTTAGTCTTCCACATCTGGTTCAAGGCATCTTACCACCT